ACTCGATAGCGCTCGCTGGTGCCTTGCTACCGGAGGACGTGGGTGTTAGAAGTTATGGTATATTAGACCCCATACGCAGTAGTACATGCGGATGGGGGAAAGCGAGGCGAGAGGTCGCCCATATATACATGTCGGCGACCCCATGCATTCCAACCTTTATCCCTTCACGTTGTCCCGCTTCTCTGCTTCTCTACCTCTCCTGACCATCCCGAGCTGTCCTCTATCCGCTTCTCTGCTTCTCCCGAGCATCCCGAACCGTCCTCTGTCCGCTTCTCCGCTTCTCCCGAGCATCCCGAGCCATCCACCAGACCAACGCCGAGGAGTGGTGTACAACCTCACTCCGACAGAGAGCGGTGATACCAGCGATGAAGAAGGAGACCCAGCATAGCTTGCTGAAGCAGAGACTGCACCATGTACAGATCAAGAGCTTTTTTTGGGTGAAGACGAGGCTCTCACTAACGCGACCGGCTTCGCATCATTGTAAAGGTCAGCTAGTATTCGAATCTCTACCGTTTTTATTGTTCGTTAGTGTTCGTGTCTACCTCAAGCGGTGGCTGCCATATGCAGTTGACGTTATAGCTCAATGATAATTTTGTTTCTGAAATGGTCTCCGTATTTTATATTCGACTAACCAATGTACGAGCAAGATCATCAATTTCGATCAATGGTAAAGTGTCCGCGACATGGTGTTCGGCCGAAATTCACTGTCACACCGTAACGATATGTTAACTCAATGGGAATGCGTCACCATCCGTGATCATACACAAATGTCTCGACGACGATATTATAACAGTGATCACTCGGTATAACGGTCAAACTTTTCCCACCCGTTTAGTGATGAGGTCTACAGCAAAGTGGGGTGCGGAGTTTTGCGCACGAATGCGAGCCTTGCCAAGGAGTGTGGTGTACCACCTGTTCAGTGCATTCAATTCCTGCTTCGTGTATTCGATCATCACAGCTACCCTCTATAAAGCCAGATTGATATGTATATTGGAGTCTTTCCAGAGTGCACGTCTTTGAACATCATGTTGCGCAACGAAGAATTGTTTACTAAGTTGAATGCCGTGAGCGATCATCGATCGTGTCAGAGTGGGTGGGTCTTCGAATACTGCTCGTTTATACGCGATGCTTGTGCTACACGTTATTATTGCTGATGTCGTACGCTCACGAGAGCCCACAGACAGATCGTGATCCGTTCTTTCTATCAAGAAGCGAGAGCGTCACGGTGATGACTGAGCGAGCGTCATGGTGAGTCGACATGCTGCGAACGGGGTGCAAAAATGCGGTATTGGTAAATAATGTCACGCATGAGACGGACCATTGACAAGGGCATTATTGATTGCGTATGGTGGAAACCCTAGAGCTTGAAGGATGTGCCAAGTTACTGTAAGTACCGAGGTCTGTGAGGGCTACGACATGTGCTCGTACGAGTTCACAGAGGATCGAAGGCCACCACTGAAGTGGGAGAACCGAGTGCCAATCAATTGCTAGTAGAGAGTATACTGTATGCAAAAATGGAAGCATTTAAATCTTCGAAGGCCTAACCCCGAGGTACACATGCGATGGACAACCGGAGATCTAGGCCGCAGACACGATGAAACCCTTCCATTGCGCAGCTAACCAATGCGTGAATCCTTCCAGCTGGTGTCCGAATCCCCATCAATCCATCAGACTGCTCATGCTGCAGCCGTTTTCCTATCAGGCGAGCTATAACAATGCAATGACGTTTCTCCAGAACGTCTTCTCCTTCTCCTCCAGAAGGCTTTCGTCTAAGTGCTCCGATAAGCTGGGGACAGGTGCCCTCAGTATACTCGCCAGCTGCTCTATCGTGCTTTCCTCCTCGTAACGGGGCCAAACGAGGAACAGTTTCTTGATCTGGATGTTCTGCGTATATCGCCGCTTCTTGGAAGCTAACTCCGCCTGCTGTACTTCGACCCTGATTGTGGTATTACACAGCCGTGGCAAGCGTTGAAGTAGCGCCGCAAAGTCCGAAACGGGCAACGTGAAGCGAGGACGCCGCCAAGGCGTGACGGACGTAATGGATGTTGAGTGTCTCAAGGTGAGGCCAGTGCGATGCGAGATACAGAAGTTCTGTGTTGCTCAGGTGGATCGAACGCGGGCGCCCATACAACAGACTTAGTTCCTTCAACTGAAAGAACGAAGTGAGCGGCTGAAAGGACTCAAAGTTGAAGTGCTGCAGGGTGCTCTGTGGTTGGGGAGTGCCGACCTGGTAGCGGGGCAGGTGGAGGAGGGTCAAGAACTGCAAATGGGCAGCTGAGACACGGCTTCCAAGCGTGGACGTGAGCGTAAGCAATGGACCTCCATCTGACGGCGCAGAGCGTGGACCGACTCCAAGGAGCATCCCTCGCAGGTTACGAACTTGCTTGGAGTCCATCCGAGATCCATAGTTAGGCCCTATTAGTTTATCGAGGCCCCTGACCGTTACCTCCCAGGAAGGCGTGCAGAGTGACAAATAGTTTAGTGTATGTGGGAGAGCCGGAACGCTTTTGTTCAGCCACGGAGATGACTCGTCTATAGCAAAGGTTACACCGGTCAGTCTCTGTAAAGTAGCCAAATGTGTGATGACTTCCTCACTGGTGTGGCCACAAATCAGCGCACGTAGGTGCTTGAGTGATGAAATGACGACCGACAAGGCTGGAGGAGGCTCCGAGTCGCATTCACCCAGGTCGAAGTTTCCTTGAGGACCAAGACTTCGAGGAATGGACAGCGCTGAGCGAGGTCGGGTATCCAGTACAAGACCAACCTTGGATGAACACTGTTGACTTCCAAGGATCGTATCCGCGAATGAAGCATGACGTGTCGCACGACGTCTAGTTGAACGGGACTAGGCCTATGGAGGCCGATCGCCTGCAGCTTCGGAAATAGGTCATGCACAGGGCAAAAACGTAGCGCCTTACAGACTTCCTCGTGCACGTCGAGCACAGGATCATTGACCCGCCATGTGATATGCTTCACCCGAGCGGTATATGATGCGAGAATACGCCAATGTGACATCTCAAGTGTAACAGAAAAAGACTAGACGCGCTCGTAAGCGAGGCATACATACATTGGAGTGCGAGGAAAAGCTCACCAGCCGATTGCATTCTACCGATCCTGTTCCAGTTGCGGGGGTGGCAGTCACTGTGATTATGCGCCGTACATCCGATGGAAGGCACATGAAGAGATCTGAAATCTGCTGATGGTTTTGCAAAGCGCATCCAGCGCGGGGTCCTTGAGCACTTTGCAAGTTCGAGCGAGCCGAGCCAATGTAGCCTTCCCATCTACTTGTTCCGCTATCGAGTGCCTCAGCTCAGGGATGTTAAGGCAAGGATGCATGGCGCTTAATGTATCCGATGTCACATCCTTGCATGAGTGACACACAACGATTCTAGAGGCTGGAGGATGCGTACTGGAAGTAGCTGTTTCTATTTTATAATGGTGTGGTGGAATTTCATAAATCGACGACACGACGGAGTTTTATTCAAGTGCGATAGTTTTACAACAAGGTAAGCAAGGGCATGAAAGAACAAGGCACTAAGGGTTACCTTGTTCTGGCGTCAAAGTTGCATCAACGCCGGGTGTTCTTTCCGGACTTTTGCCTCGTTTTTTCTTCCTATGGGAAACAAGCCCTTTCTTCCAGATATGTCCTTAGTGTACAGGACAGGCTCCGCTTCAAGAGTGGCTTAGCGACAAAGGGGAGAGAAAGAACAAGGGATGGATCGTGGCTGTGCCAAGAGCTGGTCCTTTTGGCAGGGTTTTTCGCACGCGGTGGGTGGCTTCGAGTCACTAGTCACTCTTCTCATCATATGACGGAGCCCGAGGCTAAAGCCATACGTTTGGTGCGTAAGTATCCAACAAGTGATGAGATGACCTGCTTTAATTATTATTTACTTTCTTTGACGCCCTTTGATAAGGTCTCGAGATCGACACGGGATGATGGGGCGTAAATCAATCTTGGGGGCAGGTGTCACTTATTAGGTTACAGCGTCATCCGAGAGATGGATAGATTTTAGAGCAAATGTAACAAAGATGCGCTGTTCGACTTCTCAGATTTCATTGTAATGACATTCATTCAAAATCATGGCTCAAGTACTGTTCTCTGAGACTGTGCCTTATGGTAGACAGATCGTATGCGTGAACAGGAACAAACGGGGAGGAGGTAAAAGCGAGAATATCTTATATAAACACTAACTTCATTGAGATGTATCGCGGAGAGCGACACTGTAATCTCAAGCGCAGTGTCCTTTGTCCAAAGCAGAACCCATAGCAATTCGTAGAATGATAAGATGTTGCGATAATACCTGGACCTAAGGTTAATGATTCTCTGACGAGTAAATGAAGATAGGGTCCACATCCCAACGGAGGTACAACTTGAATGAAACCCCGGAGGCGAGAACGCATGCGTTTCCATTGTCGTTAGTGGATGTGATTTATGGAAGCGTTCGATGTAGTATCGGGGCGCAAGCACTTTATGAGGCTCTGACTCCTTGAGCTGATGGTTGACTTGCAATCGACAGGGTTAGAGGTGGTAGAAGGTGGTAGACGTCGGAGGGCCAGATGCCGTAGTAGCGGCTGTGCTCGCGCGGACTTGGACGTTCGCAGACATTACCGTGGTCTCCGCATGAACATTTCCTTTTCTATTTGTCACGTCAACTGAGAGTGGGATCAAAGATGCTTCCGCGCTGCGCAGCACAATATGACCACGAGAGCCACTCACCGCGTGCTCAATTATGCCCCTTACCCGAAGAAACTCAACCTTGAAAATCCACGAGACCGAGAAGCAAGTCACAGGCACCGACGCTGCTGCTTCCATGTCGTATGTCTTGCCTTCAGGGTTCTTCAAACTCTCCCGTTGGGGATCAGCAAGCCGCATGGTATTAACGACGCTTAACGACGGGCACCCGGCGCTTGTTGTCGCGACGCACGAGCCTATCATGAGCGTTATCATGACGTCTCACGCGCGACGGGCTGCAGCCGCGAAATCGCCGATCGAGACTGTTTTGATGGGGTCGACAGCATGGCTGCAAAGCAAAAGCAAGCTAACGTTGCGCTTGGCGGGATCTTTGTCTCGTTTCTTGGACGAGGAACCTCGAGGAACATATGGACCGGCCAGCCGTGTGTGAAGCTGATCATCCCCGGAAGACCTGGAGCTTATCAGCGATACGAGGCGATTACGAGGTTTTTTTTTTTACAGCTCTCTGCGCTGGCGAGTCCTCTTCGTGTGAAGAGGGGAAAGGCGACCTGTGTCATCCCATACACCGAAGGCGCTATGTTCGATTGTCGATCTCGAACAGCGTTCTCTGTGAGGGGATCGCTTTGGATTTATGACCAACCTATGCTCTCATATGTTGCACCTGGCTGATATGGATGGGGATCTGAGTAAATTGGATCTGAAAGGCCCGAGGAAGACATCTTTCGTTGACAGTTTAGCTCGACATATGTCAAGCGCGTGTCAAGCGTATCTCCGGATTCGGATAGATGATGCACCGAAGCGCCCAGCGCTCACAGGGACCAGCGCTTTTTGACCTGATCGCAACGCATGACGTCGCTTTGAGCCGAGCTCGCGAGCGGCGAGGGGTTTGTGAAGGAAGGCGATCTCGTTCGCGCCAGTTCGCGCCGTTTGCATCTAGCAAGATGCATATCCAGACCCCATGTTCCATGCACATGTGAGTCCTAGAATCAACATATGAATGCGGAGAAAGAAGATTGTGATACCGGCGGCGAGCATATGCGCCTGATAAGATAAGTCGGTCCGACCAAGATTGGGCGGGGTAAATACAGTACGCGATTGCGGTGTGAGAGGTATGCCACTGTCGTACAGAACAGGGAGTCGAAGATAACGCACTCGAACGGCGGAGCAAGGAGAACGAGCGAGTGGTTGCTTAATATACTTTGAAGCAGAAAACTTGGTAGATGAGATGAAATTGGAGATGCACATGTTTGTTTCATCTGGCGCAACTGACTGAAGCATCTTACCTGGTTCTTCCGTGCCCGCTGTCGCCCCTTTCATGACCAATGCACTGAGAAGAAGTGCCTCTATCAGGGCTCGAAGTCCGCTCTTGGTGTAGCATGATCAACGAGCGTTAATAGCGACCAGAACTAGGAAATGAGCAGGGACAGGAGGGGAAATGCCTTACTTGGAGTTTGCGGGCAGACGTGCCTGCAATAGCCTACAGTGTGGAACACTATTTTGCAATTGAGTTGCCCGTGCGGGAAGGTACCCGATCATGGCGCAAGAAGATGCTTCTATCGTCCCTCGAGAGGTCCGGGAAGAACGTGCGTCACCAATGTATTTTGGAATATCGGTGCCTTCGCTGATCGTCGAGGCCAACTGGAAGCATCCTCAACCCTAGAACCGAGCAAGACAAATAGGAGGACGACTAACGACATCGAGAGTTGGGGAGTGTCGATGGAGGCCAGGGAGGCGAATTAGAAGGTGGCGTCGACGGAGAAAACGGGGATGCAACGAGGCGCCGGAGGGTCGTCGGTCGAGAGTCGATCGGTGTGTGTCGGAAGGCGTGTCGAGGTGGAGCACGGCAACGTGAAGAACAGGAGGGGATGTGGTTCGCTGGGATTCAGCTGCCAGACTGGCTCGGATAGAGATGAACGAGAGGCTGATTCGGTGAAAGCCGTTGCGGTGCCAAGACTTTTGTGTGCTCAATGAGAGGGTTGATGGCGACTGACGCCGATTGCGTTATCACCGCATACGGGTTGGAATGGTTCGAGCCAGAGTGATCCTAATAGGTGATCCCATACGTACGCGGCCGAGATCTGCCCCCGTCCGAAGACCAGATAACGGGACCCTTTAATCATAACAAGGTTTCGCGGTGCACTCACTTGTCTCTTTACATGGTACCTGGGCCTGTAGTTCATAAAAATAGATGGTCTCTCCTGAATATTCAGGTCAGTACCTGGGCGGCTCCGGCGGCGGGGGAGGGCGAATGGACAGCAAAGCGAATGAAAAAGCGACTGGTTGTCTTTTCGCCAGCGGGCTCGGACGAAGAGATCGACCGAACGGCTGGCCCACACCACAAAAAGGGTGATTTTGTGAGCCGTGGGAAGAGGATGATCAGTAAAGCAACGTGGTGTATGATTTTGATGCGGTGACCTTAAGTTGCCTTCTTCCTTCGACCGAAGTTGCCTGCCAGCCTAGCAGCTTTCCATAGTGTTCCATTCACCCACCCCACGATCCTTATCTGCCGCCAACTTCGCTCGCTCTTTAATCTTGTTTTACTCATTTTTTCATATTTCTTGGCTTCTATATAATCTGCCATGCACAGACGTAACACCTCCGCCCGCCTGCCCCCGCCTGTATCTTCTTCGCTTCCGCCTCCTGCTGCCCCTCCCCCTGCGGCCTCGACCACGTCCTCGAGCCCACGTTCCCCGTCAGGTACATCAGGAAGCGCCTTCAAAAGCAACAGAAGTATCGCAGGCAGTGCCCGGGGTCGCATCATGACGGTTCTCTCCTCGACCACCACTCTCCTCCCCCTCACTGGCAGTGCTCGCAAGCCGGTCCAGTTCTCCCGCTTGCACTCCCGGACGACTTTGTTTGCCCTCTGCACCCTCTGTGCTCTCGCAGTCTTCGTCGTCTTCCGCCCATCCATCGCTCAGCCTCCGGCCATTGCGGTTCTTTCAAGGCCCAAGGCGGCATTCGTCCTGCCTCCCGATGCCGTCCCTGGCAACGCAGCGCAGGTAGTCCCCGAGATGGACGAGGTCGCCGCACCCCGTTCGCGTGTCATGGGGCGGCCCCATCGCGCGGACGTCCACCCACCCGTGAAGCCTCATGTCAAAACCGCCGTTCCTGCTTTGGTGCTCACGCCGGAAGAAGAGCTTGCTGCCGTCTCGGCATTCCTCGCTGTTCTCCCGTCGAACACCATCCCCAAGTCTGTCGATCCCGCGAAGCCCATCGACCCGCAACTCGTCCTTGACTTCAATGTTCGTGCCCCGAGCGCCCGTAAGGAGCTCGATCAGACCGTGAAGGAGACATGGGCCCGGTACCCCGTGATGGCGTTCGCAAAGGTGCGCACTGCTATACACTATCCGTGCTATGGCAACAAAGGTTGTACTAATTCATATATGCCACGTATTTCAGAAACATTCCGCCGTCTCGCGCGAGGTGGTGAGGATGCTTGAGAGCATGCAGCTTGCCCCCGCCCCGAAAGTTTTCGAGGTTGACCAACGCTGTGCGTAGACCGTCTCCATTGTGTTCTCGGCCTTGTTCTTCCGGTGACTGACGTTATGGCTCCACATGCTTCCTTTTTCTCACGTGATTGGTGGACTCTCCGACAATTATTCGATCTTTTTTTCGGCTCTGGTCCCGTCGCACCGATCGATCCGCGCTCCTGATTGGCTCCTTGCGCCCGCCTGCACAGCCGACAAGGCGGTCCTGTTCCCGCTTATTGAGCGCATCACTGGTGCGACCGAGTTCCCGGTCCTCGTCATCGGCGGCAAGCCCCAGTACGGGATTGATGCGCTGCGCAAAATGCACGAGTCGGGCGAGCTCAAGGAGCTCGTCGAGGCTGCAGGTGCCCAGGTCGACGGTGCACACCGCAAGAAGGGCCGGCGATAAGCTGGTTTACTCACGCGTTTCGCAGTGTTCCATCAGGGAGCGCCGCGCTTTCGGTCTTTTTCTAACGACCTTTAACGCCCACTATCCCATTCCCCTTCTTCTTGCTTTATCAATTACCAACTGCATCGTCTGGCCTGCGGTTTAACGTACAGGCTGGCGCATACCAGCATCATCCCATACCCTGCATCTACCGCCGCATGGGCGAAGGCTTGGCGCATATATGCGCTTGGTTTTTCTGCTCACGGGCTAGACTCTTCCCTGCACTACTACATACATCCCCCGACTTGGCATCCGCGTCGTTGCATCTCGCATCTCGCACGCACTTTCCAATAGACGCGTTCTCCTACACAAAACCGCATCTGCATATTCAAGCCATCCCAACATCTCTCCCGCTCTCACCATTGCAACGCAGACGCGGCTTCGTGCGGCATTCTGATCACATCGTGGCTTCCGCCCGAGCTGTAATCAGAACATATCCCTCGACTATGGCCGTGCTTCAAGCTTCAAGCTGTATCGTCTACCTACCCCTTGCTCTTCTCCCACCGCATATCTCCGTACCCTGCTCTGAAATACCGTACGCGTATAGTAATTTAGTCGCTTCCGCATAGACGTTTCACCATCCCGCCGTTCCTCTCACTCCACCCTTTCTTTGCCCTTTCTTCTGTCTGATTTTTTCTCTCGTTTCGGTTCCGGTTTTCCTGTGCGTTCATTTCCTTTTCGCTTTACTTAGGCGGCCCGGTTATATGTTATCGGGCCAGGTGGTTATACGACAAACTTTGGCTTTTCTGGTTCGTCTTGCTGTTACTCGCGCTCACGCACAACACATATGTCGACGTGGTAGGCGAGAACGGAGGGCGGCCAGGGAGTCCGAGGAAGATATTGTACATATCTGCGGGCCGGGTCGGTGTACATAGGCTTATAGGTAGGCTAGGGGTATATAAAGTACTCTCGGACTTTTGCCTGGCTAGCGCTGTTTAGGTTTCTGTGTAGCATATAAGTTATGTGTTTATCAAGGTGCGTGCGTTGGTATGAATGAACGTCAACGGACAATGATATCTTGCTCGCTGGTGTCGTAAGGTGTCATCAAGTTGGGTACTGCTAGACCGACTGATGCAGTTCATGCCAAGTAGAACTATACGAGGATCGCGAGTACATTGAACCGTAAATAGCCTTGTTCTGTGGGTGTCGTACGATATATCGATGACGTCCGTTGTTGGTGTCTTTGACGTTGCCAAGCGCGAAGACGGGAAGGCATGTGTTCGACGAAGTGTAAATGTAAAGTTCAATACATCGAAGGTGGGGTTCTTCATTTTCGAGAATGATTTATGAAGTGCGGAGATTATCTGCTATGCTACGAATTGTCTATCCTCGGACCAAAACCGATCTGTTGGTCGGCCCGTCGTGGGAGTCTTACCATTGGTATTGGAAGACATGTTGCTGATACATGAGGTTGGGCCCATCTCATCATGTGCATGTGCATGTGCTTCAGAACGGGAGGAAGTCGAGACGAGAAAGGATTAGTGCCGGCGAATGGGAGGTGCGATTCATATTGTTTTTCGAGGGTGCGATCGGCGAGCTCGGCTTCTGTTTCATCTACACACTGCTTAGAGCAGAGAAGGCGGGGGTAGGTAGGGCAAAGATAAGGCGGACAGGTCTGCAGGTTTGCCAAGTACGACAGTGTGGCGCTTAGACTCGGAACGTTCGACCGTTCGTGCGTTGATCTGTGATTGTGTGCGACGTCATACTTTGACAGGCGAGTATGGTACGCGCAGGGGAAGATGCGGAGGTATGTGCGGGAATACGACAAACTGTATATTTTCTTTTCGTCTTTTTCTGATGAGATGAAGTCTTCTGCCTCGGTGGCGTCGGCTTGATCTTCGTGAGTCCGGCTATGTTCAGGTTATCACGGATAGATAGCAGGCAGGTACAGATCCTGATGTACAAAGTACGGACCTGTTTCATGTCTGGCGTACCTGGCGCCTAACGTTGTTCAGGGCACGAGCGCTTGCGCGGAGCTCATATCGCAAAGCTTAAAAACTTGCCACAAAGGTCCAGGAAGCTGCTGCCACGGCCGCCCGACAATACTCAGAGGTGATACCGGCGGCTTCAAGTGATAAGGCGATTGTATGCTTCATAAATAGAGTCTGCATGTGCGTCAGGTGAAACTGGAAATGGTTCTTGTGGGGTGGGATACCCCGAGAAGCAAGGCAACATGAGCGTTGTATCAGAGGACCGAGGTCGCCGCTCAACGTCAACGGCCCGGGGCGGGGGATCGACTGCAGTCCCAGGTGATTGGTATTGCTTGATGACGGAGATATCTGACTAGCTTGAGCTCGAGCTTGAACCGGTGCGCTCTGGGGCAGACATGAGGTTCGTATAGATCGCACGAGCCAACTCGAAGTTGTGAGTGTCACTTGAGCTTGAGCGTCGCTTTCAGAGTCATTTTGACCAAGCAAGCATGGGATCTGGGTAAACAGGCCCGGCCCGAGAACTTGAAAGGGGTAGGTGGTGGTGCACGGTTGCTGTCCGACTTATGTGTTTCTCCTCATTCACACGTTTCGTCAGTATCTCGATGTTCCACTAGACCAAAGTCCTTCAATATGATACACAGACATTAGCACATGCATTTTTCTTGAGGGACCTCTTGCACCTCGCCGAATATCTCACCCTCGACCCACACATCACTGTACGTCGAATGGCCCGGGGCGAGCTTACTGGAACCACTGACCCTCATTGACCTCCCTGTCTGTTCGTATCGGTGAGTAGACAATGTGCTATATATTGTTCTTTAAAATCGCCTAGATCACATCACCCTATCACACGACTTTGCATACGCTCCGGCGAGTAAGTTCACCCACTCATCGCATCAGCGACCGCTCGCAGGATCCTTATTTATATAGACCATAGACCTGACACAAAAGGATGAGAGCTGATCAAATTTCTATCGCAGGAGTATTCCTGACATTGGAACCTGCCTCTCATCTTGCTGTTCTCGCAGGATGGACGTGTCGATCGCATGGTGGACTCCCACTCAGACTAACAGCGGTTATTGCAGTGAAGTTTCATTATGCTTTCAGATATTCGATTGCGTTATACAGACGCTGGGCGCCACCATCCTAAGGCATGTGATATGGATCTGCGCTTCTTTTTTACGGCATCCAGTGACTAAATGCTGTACAGGGCGGCAAGCTCAGACCTGGACGCGTAGCTTCCTTGATCACCCACCTCCACCTCTTCAACAACCCACTCCATGCCCTTCTCTTCAGCCGGCACGAGCATGTTTGAGAGGGAAAGCTACCATGGGTCGGACCACAAAGAGGTTCGTAGAAGGACCTTCTTATATGTGATGCTAACGCGTGGCCACCAGAACAGAAACACTGTCGTGGCCAAGTTGGGATCATTGGGCTACTCCCTTCCCACCAACTACCTTTCTTCGTCAAACTCGGACACATTTACGGCGACAGCTCGTTTAATCATTGACCCAGCGATGGACATACCCTATCGCCTCCTCTCCTGGGACGATAAACTGCTGCTCCCCCACGACCGATGGAACATGAGGCTCTACCGCGACGAAGGGAGTATCTCAGGGGATATTGTCATCTTGCCTCCCAACATACCACCATCATCCGGCATTTCGGTTCCTCGAGCGCAACGGAAGAGGGCGTACTTGAAGATAGAGGCAAAGACAGGACCTGTCACGACAAAGATGGTGCGTATTCAAACAGTCCACCAGTAACACGTTCGGTCAGCGCTGATATTGCTCGATTTTAGCATAATCTTTACGACGAAACTCCCTATAAGCTAGAAGTATATGCATACGGTGACATTAAGCTGTATATTCCACCATCGTTCCGAGGTTTGTTGAGGCTCACTGCTCCGAGTCCTACGGCCCAACAACCTCAAGTGATCCTCTGCGACGAGCTGAAGGGTGTGAGCACCCCTACTGGAGATAGCTGGTGGAGTAGAGAGCGAGGTTGGTACGTTGGCTCGACTAGCGACGTTTTAAACAAAATCGAGGAGGGAGACGAAGTTGTAGCCTATACAAAGACGGGCAAGATTAACATATACTACGTCGAGGATCTCTCACTTGAGACTGATTGATCCCAGCACAAGGATAAATGTACTTCTCGGGACATATAATGTTGCATTTTCATCTTCACGGCGCAATGGGTAGAGAGGAACAGCATCAAGGATTTGTGAATACAGCTCTCGGAAGCCCTAACTTGGCCGTAACATGGCTAAAATTCTTTCTGTAATCAAATCTATGTTTGTCTAAATCATTGTGAGTGTACCTTGTGCCTACTTTCTGATAAATGGAAGGCTATCGGACTCTAAAAAAGCTTTGAAAAAAGCGAGTTTCCCATACAGTAATGTTTCGCACAGCAAGTATATGGCAGCATGGGCAAGTAATAGTTGACTGACTCGGCCTGGTGATGTGGTATCGCTGACAAAAGCGACGTAGGGCGACTAGCGGAGAGGCTACTAATCCAAGTACAAATAGAAAACTGGATTTGAGCTGGTGCGTTCGGGGACAGGATTGTTCGAACCGTACGAGTGTATGTCTGGGTGTCACGCTTATAATGATGCTTGCATCCCGTAGATTGCTGAAACAGTGTGATTGGATCTAAGGAAATGGGGTAGCTTAGTGGCGGTGCAGTAACTTGAGCGTGCTTCGAAATGCTTTCTCTCCGAGTCGTGGGTCTCACTACTACTTTATAACATACTGTACTTTTTCGACCAAAAGTTCGCGAGGTGGTGTGGGAATATGACTACCAAATACAGCGTGTCCCGCTTTTTAGTTCGCTGGTGTTGGTGGTGCGGGACATAAGTTCGGTTCGAGTTTTTTAAATAGGAAAATGAGTGTGTGGTGGATATCATCGCCTCATTCTGTGCGCTATGGTGTATTAATGAGCTGCTGGGATGACTGTATTGGTTGTCCACAAGTGAAATATTGATGCCCATTTAGCCCCTATTTACAACATGTCACCCATTTTAGTTCGTGGGCTCTACTGAAGCGGGACAAACCGACCAAAAGTTCGCGGTGCTGGTCCGAATGGGACACGGGACGAACTTTTGGTCGAAAAAGTACAGTACGTTCAACGACTCGGATCAACTATCAGAAAGCTCTTAGTGTTGACCAATACCTCACCTGACACCGGGTCGGTTACTATGTGCTTGTAACCCTCACTAGATGTGTCCTTGTTGCTTTCACAGGATCACGTCCAGCCTGTCTCTTAGATACACTGCAAACGGTCTTGCCAACGCAAATTAAATCAAAGTAAAATTAAAATAGATGCTCCACAGATGCGCCAAATGTACGTATGCCAAGCGTACCTGCGCTACATGGCTTTTTGACATGTCATTTCATTCTAAAACACCATAGAATATGGCAGATAATTTTTAAAGCTTGCAATATGCACCTGAATTATGTGCGAGAGAAAATCCTGTAAAAAGCTAGATTTTTTTGGTGTTTGAACATAGTTAAAAGCCGCTTTTTAAGACTGCTACAGTGGGTACTTTTAATTTTTTATCTTTGCATTGGCAAGATGGAACGCAAACGTCAATACCATTTGTGACATTATTACTTGAAAAGTACTTTAAAAAATAAGGTGAACACGGCAACCTGAGTTAGTTTCTGAGGCCTCATTATTTAAAACTTTATCAAAAACAGAGCTGCCCGGCTGTCAGTAAATGGCACCTTGCATTTCTGTCTTTGATAAACTTCAAAATAATGAGGAACTGATTATTGAAACCCAGATAGCTGTGTTCATTTTATTATTTATAATACTTTAATAATTAAAATGTCACTATTATCAAGAAATGTTTGCAGTGATAGCAGCGACTCGCGCCTCTCTGCAATTGCAAGTTACTCTTTCATAGGAATAACCACGTTGGTCTTATGAACCGACAAACCCGACAAACACTACTAACGGCCGGGCTATCCTTGTATTTCGAGACGGTTCTGGATTTTTCGGCTATATATAGGCGCTGAGCGCATGTGATGTGAAGCCATCCTTCCTTTTTACAGCAAGTGGCGACCCGAAGCTGTATATAGCTCGGGCAGAGACCTTGGCCACTTACCATCTACATCATGATGGCCTCCTCTTCGAACGATACACCCATGTTCGAGAAAGAAGGTTACCACGGGGCTGACTACAAAGAAGTTCGTAGAAGGGTTGTTCTCGTTCTTATACTTGAGGCTAATGCATTACTTGCCGCAGAACAGGGACCTTGTCGTCGCCGAGTTGGTATCATTAGGCTACTCGCTTCCCACCAACTTCCTGTATTCGTCAAACTCGGATACATTTACATCGACAGCTAACATCGTCATTGACCCGGCAATGGACATACCCAGACGACTCCTTTCATGGGATGTTTTGTCCTTGCTCCCCAAGGGCTTATGGCCGAACATGAAGCTTTATCGCGACGAAGGAAGTATCTTGGGAAACGTGGTCCTCCTGCCTCCCAATATACCTCCTTCGACCGGTGATTCAGTACCTCGGGCGCAACGGAAGAGGGCAAAGTTGAAGATAGAGGCGAAAAAAGGATGTATTACAACGAGAATAGTGCGTAACAAGCCAGGGTGCTGATAATCAGCTGAATCTGTGTTGAAACCGCGTATTTACAGCATAGTCTCTACAACGAGACTCCCTATACGCTGGAAATCCTCGCAGATGGCGACGTCGAGTTATATATCCCAGCCTCTTTTCGAGGTCTGTTGAGGCTCACCGCTCCACGTCCCCAAAATCAACAGCCCCAGGTAATCCTATGCGACGAATTGAAGAATGCAAGTACTCCTCTTGGAGATAACTGGTGGAGTAGAGAGCGAAAATGGTATGTTGGCGATAATAGGGCTGTTACGAACAAAACCGAGGAGGGAGACGAGGTTGTAGTCGATGCGAAGACGGGTAGGATCAACGTATACTACGTCGAGGATCTCGCGCTCGAGATAAATTGATGTCGATCCCTAAGATCGTGATACTTCTTGGCACAGTAGCGCCAGCTTCCATAACGTTCGATGCAATGAAAAAGAATCGAAGATACCTGAAATAGATCCATTGAGAGCGAACAATAAAGTCCACTGGATAGGAATAAAACCAACGGTACCAACTCCTTGGAAGTAACAACAACGACTTGTACTAGTGCTACGGATAGACGAGGATAGTGGTAATGAGCCCCTCGTGATGAAGCATTGTCAGTGAACACGTCGAAGTCATCTCCAAGCCACAAGCACTCAGATCCACAGCCCCAAGCGCTCTACTGTGTACCTCACATTCACACGTGCAATCACCAGCAGAACATAACGGACTGGTATAAGCATGTATTACTTACAAATCTGAAGGGTGACTGTATCGATAAACGGGGCCTTACGTCGGAACTCAAAGAGCTTATATCACCAGTACAACTTCAAAGTCAGATGTCGCATAGCAAGCGTACCCGGGGTAAGCAGTAGTCCATTAAAGTAATAGTACTCAATGACGATCTTCTTTTTAAGTTCTTGTCCTTCAGGCTCAAGCCTCGATAAAAACTGCTCAAGCGTCGCGATGCAAACGATTGACCATAATTCTTTCGTGAGTCCATAATACTTCATCCAGGTAAGGAACGGCCCACGTTCTGACATGACGATTGCTCGCATGTTGCAGACCATATTCACTGCGCCTACGGCGGTGACATTCAGGCCGGCTAGTCACCTCGCGGAGTCCTATCTCAAAAAAGATCCATCAGATGACGAGAGCACGGCAGAACCAAAAATGGCGCCGGAGATATTGCTTCAGGGCGCATGTCCGAACCAGTACAGTAAGTGCGCTGAACTGCTCCAGTCCTCCATTCCCAAAGGATTTGACGCCAGCGAGATAATATTGCAGCGCAATGGGCTTGTCCACACCTTGCTTGAGGCGTACAACGAGCACCGTGCGCGCGTGCTCCGTCCGATTGATGTCTGGCTTGCCATCTTGACCCAGTTCTCCTTCTATGTGAGCGCGTATGCGGAAGAGCGGCTCTCTCTGTTCGTTGCACATAAGGGGAAGAAGGAGCTTAGGCCAACAGCGTACAGAACGCGGTACACGGTCGACTTCGGGAGAGTGGCTAGGCAGACGGCGGACCTTCTCGAAGAGAATTTGACAGATCCCGCGCTTCGAATGTGGGCAACTCCGAAGTTCAGTACGACGACGATCACGGACAATAAAGTGTTCGCTATTGCGCTCATGGCCACGACGAAGAGCTATTGGGAGACTTTTTTCGGGCTGTGCTGTGGTATCCCTCGCGTCACGCTGGATGGAACGCGCGAGGATTGGGAGGTCGTGTTGCAGAGTATTGACAAGCTGAAGGAATTCGGGTTCGAGACGACCGCATGGTATCACCTGCTCAGGCCTGTGCTGGCATGCTTCGTAAACGCGTTTGACGACCCCGACGGAGAGGAGAACATCGACTTCTGGGGGAGAGTCGCCCACCTTCACAGCGGCATGAGTGGTCCAACGTACCTCATGGGTTGGGCCACTACCTTCTGCGTATTCGATGCCCATGGGAAGTGGCAAGGGCCATTCCTAGACAACATCCCCTCCTTCGATTCTCCGTCCCAGGACTACGCCAAGCTTAGTGGAGAAGCCTTCGCAAAAGAACATTTAGAACTAGACTCTGACTCGTACCTCGTTCTCGACGGGGTTCCCTACCCACACATTAGTATGAGGGACATTCCAGCTGGGACCTTTGAGGTAGACGTCAAACTCGATGACAACGGTGAGATGCTCGAGACGCTCCTTGTAGCCGGGAGCATGGGGAGCGCCGTTAGCTTGAGCAACGACATATCGTTGTCCAAAACCGAGGAGAGGGACATAGTGAGGCCCGTGCCTGGATGGTGGATGTTTATCAAAAAGTAGAGAGGCGATTCGGACGAGAAGCGAACGCGATAAATTGTATGCATCTTTATGAACATAATCATCGCATGTTGTACTTGTACCTTTGTATTGTAAAGTCAGCCCCATCGTCGAGAACTAACAAGGACACGTCGTTGATCGTTGATATGGTAGCTAATGAGGTATATGACACGCACGTCTTATCCGAGTACCCCTGCGTTTTTCCCAGATTCCTGGAAATGTTTGCGAGAAAGTCGATAAATATGTTTCAGCCGCACATAAGTTGTTGCGTTGGATGAATTGAATCACCGCTTTGTCGGAGACTAAATATCTCCTGCAATACTTTCATAGGAGCTCGAATAATTACCCCTGCCGATTCGGCAGTTCGCGAGTGAACTTATGACGGCGTTTTTGGACGCGTCGAGTTTTCTCCGACCACTCGTATGAAGCGCGTCGCCAATGCCGGGGCGCGACTTGTCTCCTCCTCACTTTCTTCCAGCTACCTGGACTCCAATGTCGTAGCGCGGAGAGCACTGCATACCACACTCCCTGCGTGCAAACGCAAGAAAACGCAGCCTGCCTCCAATGACGAAACTGGGACGCCTTCGCTCTCGCAACGCCTCGCAGCTATGAGCTCGCAAAATCTGCAAGCCAATACGCGTCAGGCGCTCTCAAAACGTGAGGGCGAAATGGAGGAGACGCTCAAAGCCGTTGGGTCGATGATTATGACTCGCGGTGACGACGCTCAGAAGGCCAATGCCACCCCAACGAGCAAAAGCGCGAAGAGGAAAGCCAAGAAGCGCAAGGCCGCGAAGAGCAACGCCAATTGGGCAGCTCTCGAGGGAATAGTCGGCGGGGGACATACGCAGCCCTCACCTAGTAGGCAAGGACTGGGGCCAGGCCTCGTCGCAGAGGAGTGGGTCGACAGCTGGGGCGAAGACAGTGCGTAACATCCCTGGCAGAACCGATGTGTTGCTAAAGGGTCCCTAGAACTCGTGCCGCATGGTTCTCCTTCCTCAAGGTCGAGTCGGGCGGCCCCACCGCATGTCCATCATCCGCTTCCATATACCCGTCGTATAGAAGGTCTCCTCGAAAATGACTCGACGCCAACGCTAGAAGGTGTGTCACCTGGCTGTCGGTCGACGTTTGTGTCCTCATATTGTTCAGATCTTCCCCCACCATCGGACCAGAAACCGATCGCTTCCCTGGCTCACGGACTAGATCGTGTGCTCTTCAAGTGCGTACATTGTGGTGCTCTCCCTCCTGTAGATGCTAACCACCCGCAGTCCCGGCGTTCATTGGATGCGGGATCCCCGTTCAAAGGTCTACAACTTTGACCCATGGCTCGAAGAAGTTCCGGACGTCAGCGACTTCGCGTTTGATCGCATTACAGGATTCATTAAGAGTTCTCGGGACAAAGTGGGTAGTTCAGACTTCGACACTTGCGAACACGCTGCTAAGTAAACTTAGGATCTATGGTCGCTCGCCAAGCGCGAAGGAAAACAGTACGCCGGCTCGACGTCCTCATTGACTGGCTTGCTATCGCATTCATATTTCCTGATATCGGAGGACAAGGAGGTGGATACGACGACATTGAGCAAGCACTTCTCGCGAGAGGTGAGCAACACTCAAAGCATATTTGACGCATAGACGCGTCACTGTATGCGGCGAAGCAACTGTGTCCCGCTTATTTATGTTCCTTCCTCTGCATTATCTCGCGATGCTAACCCTTTTTCAATCCTCAGCCACAGAACTTCACTCCTGGCCAGCGTATGCCCGCATCGATATTGCTCAAGCATCGTGATGGCGTTTATACCATTGACTCGGACAAGGACGATGACTTTGCCGAGAAGAATGTTCTGACGTGGATGGTGCGCTCATATACATCTTTGGCTTTAATCCGCGTGTGCTTACGATAGCTCTCAACAGGGTACTATGCTAGAGCGTTTTCTTACGTTGAAGCCGGAAGAGTATAAGCGTCTCACGCGGAGCGCGCAGAACCCTGATGCTGAGACGAACGATCCACGGCGCGAGGCATATCGATACGCCAAGGTGAGTGTTATATATACACGCGTTTATTCGCATGCTGACGTGAATTGCAGTCAGGCAAGATGGTCATGCGGTCGCAGCTGGACTGTGCAGATAGTCGGTTGCCCGGGACAGGTGTCTTTGATCTCAAGACACGTGCGGCTGTCCCGGTTAGATATGATATTATCAACTGGGAGGTATGTGTTTTTGTACTGCCGATTAGCAGAGGGTTCACGTCGTTTTATGTGTCCAGGAGCACGCGGGTTATCTCATTCGGTCGCTGCACGGGCCAATGGAGAGCTTCGAGAAGGAGTACTATGACCTTATCCGGTCGGCATTCCTGAAGTACAGGTACGTATCCTGTCGTCCCCCGTGTTATCTGATTGAGAGTCCTGAAATGTATCAGTTTCCAAGTGCGCATCGGAAACATGGACGGCGTCCTCGTGGCGTACCACAACACATCCCGTATCTTTGGCTTCCAGTACGTCCCCCTGGAAGAGATGGAAGAACGCTTGTACGGTGGGCCTGGGCGTGGCGACCTCGTCTTCTCGCGCACGGTACGCCTGGTAGAGCAAGTCTTGGCGGAGGTAACCCAGGTGTATCCCGGAGAGGTGTGCTTCCTTATACATCTTCGAGGCGGAACAAGAGCTGACAGGGGCTGCATAGTCCGTCCGACTAACGCTGGAGAAGCTCGAGGGAACCAAGACGATGCATGTATGGGTCGAGCCTGTCGAAGCAAAGGAGGACGACCCGGCAAGGCCGTCAATTGTACAGCTAAATATCGAGGTACAGAACTTCGTTAATCAAGAGCCAGTCCGCGGGAGCACGGCCGTCAACTCCGACGACAAGTCATGTGTGTACACCTCTACTACCTAAAGCATGAAACGCCTGACTGACAATGGCGCTCAACGTCCTATAGGGATGGTGCACTACATCATCATGCGTTCTTCTCTCAGTGAGCGTGAGGTTCGGCGCAAACTCAGCGCAGCCAAGGACCGTCAGTGGCGCGCGTACAGCATGCCCACCGGTGTGGAGAGCCTCGACGCGATGGAGAAGTGGTGGCATAACATGAACTATGGCTCTGCGCCCACGCCCACGGGTGTCATCGAGCCGGTGGAGGAGGATGTGCAGGTGTCGGCTGAACCAGCTGTTCCTCGGGACGGCGAGCTAGAGGCCGAGTCTAGCTCTTCCGATGCCGGGCTTGATGCCGAGGCGGAGGCAGAGGTAGTGGTGGACGCCTTGGAGGAGCCATCAACTCCCTCCCCATCGCCACCCTCCCGTCGTCCATTCGACCCGACTCGATTCACGCCCCCTGACGCTCGAATTGAGGCTCTCCGCGACATCTCTCGTCGAGGAGCAGTTGAGCTTGCGCGCGAGCATGAGCAGGGCTCCGAGAAGGTCGTCTGGGGCGGGCCCGCTCCGCCTCCCGTCACAGTTGCCGAGGTTGCCGAAGCGCATGCGGCGCGACTCTTGGCGTCCCAGGCTCGCGCACGGGCTTTCGAGACAGAAGAGGCACGGAGCGAAGATCCCAACGCTGTTCTCGCTGAGGACGTGGTGTCTCCTGTCCAAGAGGTCCCGGAAGCAAGGAGCGAGGATGTCAAGGTTGCAATGGCGCTGTTCGACAGTTCCTTGACGGAAGAGCTACAGGAGGCGCTTGGGATGGAGGCTGGGGCAAATGAATTCGAGCCTTATCTCGGCGGGTTGCCGCCTTCTGCTACGAAGGACGTGCGAGCGAGGATGCTGGAAGAGAGGAGCGAAGCCCCCGAGGCCAGCGTGGCTACTACAGATACATCCAACGAAGCGCCGTCTTCTTCAGAGTCAAGACAACCCTCTGGGGCCTCCGATGATCCTGCGCCTTCATCGGCGGACGGAGTCCACTCCAAGGGGGAGTCTATCGCCTAGGTTTGCGTGCTTTCGTCCATGCTTTCCGTCACAATATGCTATGCTTTTGCCCAATGTCACACTTGCTATTTCACGTCGCAACTGCACTCACATCTACTGTATAGCTCATATAGAAGAAATTCACACATAGATCATGCCTAATGACAATCACAACCTCTCCTCCATTTTCTCAGTAGGAATGCATCTATCGAACACGAGCAATGGGTATCGCAACTCCAACTCGAGTACTCTTTCAAGCTTAGGGATGGACTAGCGCGAGGTTCGTCAGAAGCGCCATGACGACAGATGAAACCGATATGGTAGGTTCAGCTCACAATTGTGCGTACTTGCAATAAGCAGACCTCAGCAGGGATGCCCCATCTCAGGACGGGACTGTAGCTTCTTGGTGGTCTAATATGGGTTACGCTGATACTCCATTCGGCTTAATGGCACGGTTTTGATCGGTCCGTTAGAATGGAACACTTTGACGAGACCGATAGGGCATCTACACCCTTATCAGACGCTCACAAAGGCCATGCGCCCTCAACATGGAAGAGTGCCGCTCAGAAGTGCGCCATTATGATTGACGAACTTTCCTGATAAGACCGATCAGGTGTGTGGCTCGTTGAATTACAGAGTTACGTTCCCGGTACGTACCCGCTCCACCGACTACAACGAGGAGAGTTACTGGAACTTTATCTTAGGCCTTCTCCAAGGCGTACTGTGGCTGCCCCGAGATACATAACGGCCACTTCAACCGGAAAACACAGGTAGCTGATTTCCACATACTATGAGTATTTATGCAGCGCTAACGATGATTTGTTATTTCAGACTTGAATCGTAGTCAGCAGGGCTTCTTTCCGACGCTCACGAATATATTCTCAGCGAAACCCAAGAACGCAGCTGCCAGGCGGGAGAGCTGCGGCTGATAGCCCAAGAAGAGCTTTCAATGGCGATAAAACACCCCTTCTTCAAAGCCATCGACGCGCTACCTTCTCCCGTGTCACTGAGTAGGGACCAAGATGGGCCACCTTCCAGCTGACTACACTCTGGAAGTCGGTACTTACGTCGGCAACGCATTTTTGGGCGTCATTCTAGGTAATCCCGCGCATCTAGTTCCAGATTCGTTCCGACCTCTGATAGCAGACAGGGATAGACATATGCATGTGTTCGGCATCCGTATATCTACTTCTGAAGAAACGACAGTTTCATCCTCGCTGGACGTACTTCTACATTTCCTACGGCGCCGTTTTGCTGGTACTCGTGACGGTGAACGTTGTCGTCAACCAGTATTTTGGACAGCTCCTCTGGATAAATGACCGCGGTGCTCCCGGAGGGCCGCCTGCTTGGTTCTCCGTCAACATGAACAACCCGCTCTACGTTACTGGCAATGCTGTAACCGTCATCTGTAACGTTCTCGGAGACGCCCTGATGGCAAGTCGTTATTTTTACCCCCTGTGATACCGCCGGTTGTAAACCTTGCTGACGAGATGTCCAGCTTCATCGCTACTACATTATTGTTGGAAGAGGTTGGACTATTATTGCCCCATCCTTCCTATATGTTTGCACAATAGGTGGATCGCTATCATATTTCTCGCTGCTTCCGAGTCCCCCTCACCATGAATCGTCTTTGTCCATAGGTTCATCCATCGCTGCAACGGTTAATGCGGCACTCCCCAACGGAGACATTTGGTCTGGAGTCGCTGTTGACCTCGACATGCTCTGGGTCGCGTCAACGGTATCATTCAACGTGCTCGTAAGCACCATGATTTGCTGGCGTATGATCAGTGTTGGGCGTGCGCATCCCAACAAGGTTTATGGCGAGGGGTTCAGCAACTATACCGGCATCATCAGTATGATTGTTGAAGCGACCATTCCGTTTACTGCTGTTGGAATTGCATATTTCATCGCTCAGCTTTGCAAGAGCGGAACAGAAGCTACTCTTGGCGACGTTTGGTCCGTACTATGTGTGCGTAATCCCCATCCTACACCGTTGCCGGAGAGGAACATGACAATAACGTCTTCATCATCAGGCATTGTCGCCACAGTTGATTATCTTGCGCATCGCAATGGGATTCGGCTGGTCAAAGGGCACGGTCCAGGAGCTAACTCGAACAGACGAAATCAGCATGATTATATCTGGCTCTTGGCAGGCGTCAAACTCGGCTTCTCTGAGTAACACGGCGCTTGGCTTCCCTCGGATGCGTACTCTTAGTGTGACAGCAAAATGTTCCGCATCTACAACTGACGAGCCTTTGGCAACGGGTGAAGGAAACGTGTAGAATGTAGTCAGAAACTTAAGCTAAGGTTTTGCTTTGACGTGACCTATCGCAGACCCATTTTCTTCGGTTATCAGAGGCAACATCCATCGAGTCCATGTATATGTGAACAATTTTGAACATTAAACCGTTCCTCTGCGTTGATGTAGGATAGCTAGATTTTCTTGATCGCTCTTTCTTGTGTGTCTATGTAAAATATTGTATCGGCTTGTATGCAGATTATCATAAAGGATTCACCCATTCATAAAATTTAGTATCAAACTTGAAGCTGGATTTATATGCTATTCAACGTAAACCCCCTATATTCAAGTTTTAGCAGACAGCAGGCTCCCCAGCAGTATATCATTCTCTTGAGAGCATGTGGTCAGAGGTAATATAGCACGTATTGTGTACGGATCACATTCTACTAAGAAAAGGCCCGTAGAATGGTGCCTTGTCCAGAATGGAATAGAGCGCTAGAGATCAGGACAAGGATCAGGATGGCGGGTTGTGGGGAGGCAAACACAATTCAGCTGTGTTACGGAAAATGCCGCATCGGAGAACACAACATATTATGCCACAAACAAGGGCTTGCGTTTAGGCACCCAATTGAATGCTCATAGATTTCACAACAGCTACACAGTTCAGCGAGGCCGTCGCTTTCCTATCGTAAAAAGCACTCCAAAGTTTAGCTCAATGTGAGGCGAGCCTCTTAGAACCTTGCATTGGCCTGGTGAGTACCTTAATCAAGATAAAGTTAGGGCTGTACCGAGCGCTTACTACTAGCTTGACGCTACTCCGATTTTGTGTCGCTAGCCACGGCGCTGAGAAACAAAAAATATTTTTCAAAAGCTGCACAAGGCATCTCTATTGTGTCCAGGGTAAGCCTCGTTACAATAATCATCCAGGTACTCGGGCCCACCCTCACCCTCTACCCTTCATACTCGGAGCCCCTCTGATTGTTGAAACTAGAGAGCTGCTAGTCATGGCAGCAGCCTCTCCCAGGGCGAGCCTTCAGGTGAAGGTCCGCGAAAGCGAGTCCGCAATTATTTGGATGTCATTCCATTATCCAAAAAATTGGTCTTGGCCGAGCTCATAGTGATGAAACTTCATTAACATTAAGGAGACGGCAGACGCAATTAGCTTGGGCATGGGGTACACGTGCTGTGCCTTTGACCGTGGAATCACCTCACAGCATACATGAATAGCCTTCGAACGAGGATTCGTATATCTTTGTCCCTGGTGCCCTCGTATTACTATACCCTTGCTCCTCCAGCGTCTTTTTTGGTCAAGCGTCTCTAGAGGTCACGCGATGAGCTCTAACGAGAATCAGCTAGAGACAAGTATCTATGTCGGCAATGCACTATCCGCTATTCTATATGGTGAGCCACTGCATTCCCAATTTACCCTGGCACCTCACCGCAACGACCGTTTCACTGGCAGGCGTCAACTTATGCATGTACTTTACAACTGCACATCTTCTCGTCAAGAGACGTATACTCGATCGGAACTGGACCATTTTCTACATAGGTTACGGGGCCATCCTTCTCCTTATGCTGACGATATACGGTGTCATGATCCAGACCTTCGGCCAACTTCTGTGGATAACCTACAGAGACACCTCCGGAGGTCCGCCGGTTTGGCTTGTGAATCACAGCCATAGCTGGTATGGAGTTCTTGCATCCGCTATGACTACGATTTCAAACACAATGGGGGATGGTCTTATGGTAACGCTCGTTGACCTGACATTCGACACGGCATCTAACTCATACTCAACAGCTTCGTCGCTGCTATATCATACTTCAAAAAAGCAAGCGTCATCTCATCTTCCCCACCTTGCTATACAGCGGGGTATTTGGTCGGTCGGTCTGTTACACACCTCCGAGCACGCTAATATTGTTCGTCTCAGTATCCTCAATCGTAACCACCATTAAAGACGCCAGCCCACAAAGCAACTTCTGGGCGCTCACGTTTCTCCCTTGGGACGTAGCCTGGATCTCATGCACGGCAGCGTTCAACGCAACCGTGACATTCATGATCTGCTATCGTATTATGGCCACTAACTGGGCCACTCGCGACATCTTACCGGCAAAAGTTCTGCGAACACACACAGGATTGATCTCTATGATGGTCGAAGGGACGATCCCTTTCACACTTCTCGGAATCGCCTATGCAATTTCGGAAGCGACTGAAAATGTCTCACAAATATGCCTTTCTCGCGTGTGGATGTTGTTCTGTGTGCGTGTTTTTTTCTACCTCCTAGCTAGCAATGCTAAGCGTAATACCGTTACACGTAGGTTCTGTCACAGCAGTTTATTATTCTCCGCATTGCGATGGGCATGGCGTGGTCGGAGGACACTGTGAATCAAGTAGCCCTAAACATGTCCCTGGAAGGTGGGGAAGAGGAATCCCGCGTGATGAGCGAGAAGCAGAGTGCATAATGCATAATATCCGTCAATTACTGCTTCGTCGACGGCTCTCCTATGGTCATATGATAGCTTGGATGTCGCATGTGAAAACAGTCCCTTTATCTGTTGCGGATAGTATGGTGAAGGCTCGCTGATCTCACCCAAGTTGCAGCAAATGTGCTTCTCATATAAGACTACAAGCGGGTACAAGTCGTAGTCAAGCACATGTGAATGCTACATTATATAGCCTAGAGCTCCCGCTTCTACCATCCTCATCGCGGCGCGCTCATCTGCGCAGAAGCGCCTTGTCGTCAGTGTGTCGAACATCGGTTGGTCAGCTGAAGACATGGAGTTGAAGGCACGGAGTATAGTTGGAAGACTTGAGCGAGAGAGCGAGCGGTCGGTCAGCACAAGTGCAGAAGTGCAGATTTGATCGCGTCGCCAGAGTGAGAGCTCAAGTCCTTGTCCAGTCAGCGCCTAGCGCTGAAGATGAATCCCGAACACTGGTCGCGCGCTCCCGGGCTTCTTCTTGCCGCTGCTCTTCTTCTTGGCTTTCTTGTTCGACGAGTGAGGATGAGAGGAGGACTCCTCGGACGACTGGCTCTCCTCTGCGTGACGTTCGGCGCGCTCCTTGTTGCGTCGCCGCTGGTTCCTCTGCTGGGTGGCAGTCAGATGCTGCGAAGGTGCGTCCACGTCGATTGGCTGAGAGGCATGGAGGGCGTCGGCAGCATCACATTCAGTGGCCCAGTTGAGACCCTCTTCGACCTCGAGCACGGTGAAAGGGTTAGCTGCGACAGAGTCGGTCGTCGGTGTGGCTTTAGAGGCCTCCTCGCGTTGACGCTGCCTGAGGTCGGCGCGCTTCTGGGCCTTGGTGCGCATCACGACATGCGAGGTCGGTGTAAAGTCATGGAGGAACGCCTCTGGCCCCTCCTCGAGGAGCAGCTCGAGCGTAAGCTCCGGGACATCTTGAGAGATCGACTCCGGCTTGGCAGCGGAGCAGCGTGGGATCGTCATCTCCGCAATCTCCGCAATGTCGGGTAGCGGGCACCGACCACGGACTGAGATCAAGAGCGCAAGGAAACTAGGGTCGTGCCCCGCGAGATCAAGATGGAGGTGTTGATCGGTGCGAGCTCCTTCGGTAGAGAGTGCTCGAGGGCCGGCGAGTAGGAGTGCGTCGACTGAGAGACGACGGAAGTCATCTAGTTGCGCTTGGGACTCCTGTAATCAAGTAATCATAAGTTTACGTCACTCAGAAAAAAAGGGAATAGCGTACCTTGTCATACCGCTCTCGCCAGTATGTCTTCTTGTACAGAACAGAATCGAGTCCAGGCTCGGAATTGGAAGCGTCCAAAGAAGCGACGAGACATTCGCGATCACTGACTTGAGGTTCGATGGGGAGGAGCGAGCCAATCTCCGCCAACGATAAAGCAAGGACGGCCATCTGAAAACCAAAAGTCAACAACATGGCCAACAAATTATGTTTAAAGTGAAGCACAAATTACCTTCTCCGACTCAGCTGCTTCCCGTTCTCGCTTCCTATGCCTCTTCAGCTGATTCTTTCTCTTGCGAGCAGTGTTAACCTCATCGTCAGTGGCCGGTGGCAATGACATGAGCACAGCGTCCTCGAACAACTCATCTACGTCGGGAGCGTGGGTCGGGATCTTGATAACAAGAACAGGGTCTTCCTCGTTGTCGACAAGCGGCAGTACCGTGAGTGAATTGCACTCAGTTCCTTTCTCGAGTCGGATGGGAGGGAGATGGGTTCTTGTTGTGTACCCGATGAGCTCCTCGTCGTTGGGTCGTGGCGATGGCACGATTGCGGTGTGTTCGAGTACTTCATCCACGTCGGGAGTGGGGGTCGGGATATTGATAACAAGAACAGAATCTTCCTCATTGTCGACAAGCGGCAGTACCGTGAGCAAATTGTGCTCAGTTCCTTTCCCGAGTCGGATGGGAGGGAGATCGATTCTTGCTGTGTACCCGATGAACTCCTCGTCGTCGGCTGGCGGCGATGGCTCGAGCTCGGCGAGTTCGAGTACTTCGTTCGCACCAGGGGCGGGGAGCGGCATGGCAATGGCGTGTCCGAAAACTTCGTCATCGTCAACTGGAGGCAGCGGCTCGAGCAAAGCGTGCCCGAGAACTTCATCAGCGTCGACGGGGGGTAGGGGAATGCTTGCTGCATGTCCGACAAGCTCGTCGTCGTCGACCGGTGGCAGGCCCACGAGCAAAGCGTGCTCGAATTCTTCTTCAGCGTCCGGAGCGGGGAGCGGGGTGTTGGCAGCGAGAGCCAAATCCTCCTCGTTGTTGACAAGCGGCAGTACTGCGAGCAAATTATACTCAGTTCCTTTCCCGAGTCGGATGAGAGGGAGTTGGATTCTTGCTGTGTACCCGATGGGCTCCTCGTTGTTGGCTGGTGGCAGGGCCTCGATTTCTTCGTCCGCGTCGGGAGCGAGGACTGGTGCGCTGGCTGTGTATCCAAAATCTTCCTCGCCGTTGTTCAACGGCAGTACCGTGAGCAAAGCATGCTCATTTCCTTTCTTTGAGGGGAGGAGAGGGAGAAGGGTGGACGGAACAGATGGGAGCCAAGTGCTGGATGCGAGTGAGATTTCGAGAACAGTGGAGCCGTGCATTTCAGGAGGCGAGAGGTTGACAAGAAGGACATTGTCGAGAAGATGGTGATCGAGGGAGACATAGACGTGACGAGGCTTGCGTCGATATATGCGACCCTAGGAAAGTGATGAGCTGACGTCATTCGAGATGGTTCAAGGTGCTTACCTTGAAGTTCCAGAGAATGACAGAAACGAGAATGAATCCGAATACGCGTGCCATTGTCGGGAAATAGACGTAGGGGAGGAGCTGCAGAAGCCATGCCTTGAAATCCTGAGTGTCTGAACGCGCGAATCGAGCCTTGAGGGGGATGTTGGCCAAAACCTGGGGTCTGAAGACGTCGACTGACGTGGGCTGGTCGCCCGCCGCGCAGAATTCCGGTGGGGCAAGCTCGAGGACCTTGAGCTCGCAGGTGGGAAGCGAAGCGGCGGAAAGCGTGGACCTGAGAGCTTGGTCAACCGAAGTGGGCTGGTCGTCCGCCGAGCACACATCGAACTTGGCGAGTTCGAGGACCTTAAACTCGCAGGTGGGAAGCAGAGTGGCGGAAGGCGCGGACCCGAGAGCTGTGTCGACTGAAGCAAGCTGGTCGTCCGTCGAGCACACGTCCGTCAAGGTGAGGAGTTCGAGACCTTTGAACTCGCAGACGGGGAGCGGGGCGATGGGAAGCGTGTCGGAGGTAGACCAGGAGGCTTGAGGTTCTTTGAACGTCTCGTTTGACGACGCCCAGAGGATGACTAGTGTTAGGCGTTAGCTATGTATCGTAGGTAGAGACGAGAGACGTTACCATTGTCAGGCGTAAGGCCAGGTACGAGGCCGGGGCTTGACTGATCTTCAGACGCGAGGGCACCGTCTTCAGACAGCAACGTATTGTTGAGGACCGAGGGGAAAGGGATGACGACCGCCGACAGTCGAAGTGAGACGACGTCGGCGATGCTCTTGATCCCTCGGGCGATGTGCTGGCCGAAGACGTGAGGGAGCGTGCGGATGCCGAGCTGAGGACCAAGCTCGGCGAGCGCGTTGGAGAGCAGAGGACCACCGGGGAGACCGAGTAGTCCGGAGGACGTCAGCGTACCGGACCCAGCCAGCGCATAGAATGCGTGGAGGGCACGGATGGCTGCGGAGACAAAAATGATATAGTTCATTGTTGGATGTTTGTTGCGATGTGATATGTTTACGATGAGGAGGGAAGGGATTCGACGTGCCATCCTATATAGGTCTGGAGTTCAACACTTTGGTACTGTTTGGCAAGGCGGGCCGAGGAGGAAGAGGCTGACATTGGTCCATGTTGGAACTTCTGAGTCGAGAACTGCCGCGGAGAGCTTTAGAATCTAGCTGGAATGTGTCTAGATTGGGAGCTCACCTAATGTTCGCGCTCGATCACTGTGTCGAACAATCCCAATTCGTTCAAATTGCATACCAGCAGTCTGATACACGTCTCGGCCAACTACTACGCCCTCTTTTCAACGCGACGTCTCTTCGTCGGAGGGGATGGGAGGCTTGGAAGCGCCGCAATCCCCGCCGACCACTGACGCGTCGAGACGTACAATGGCAAGGTGATAAGCGGAGGCGTGTCTGTTGCGCGACGCCAAGTAGAATCATCGCCAGATAGAGATTGCGACCATACGTAGCGACATCTGCCATAGCGAGCTTGACGAAAGCCGGCGTGCCCCCGCGGAGGACGAGGATGACGCGTTGGTCTCTATTTCAAACGCGACCTAAGATGAGCAACTCGATCTGCAGCCTTGCCTTATATGATATTTTCCTCGCCCTCGGAGAAACTGGCAATAATCTGCGCACGCTGCGTGTCAGTGACACGGAATACTTGAGATATACCTTAGCGAGATGGGCAGCGGCAAGTACATCAACCGAGCGAAGCCAGGTAGAATCGCTGTCGGGTCCTTGGGTGCCATTGTACGCGTAGGCAGCGACGTTTGCACTAATGAGGTTAACAAAACGACACGGTCTAGCAGAGGACGAGGGTGATGAATTGGTCTCTATTTCAAACTCGACAAATAGACAGTTCAGTCTACATCTTTGCCTTCTATTATAGTTTCTCCGTCCTCAGAGAACTTGACATTGTTCTGCGCGAGATACACGTTAGTCAAGGGCGTGTCAGACTTTGCTCAGAGGTGTACACACAGGATCCGAAGACGACCTGCCGACGTATTTCGTGTGATCTACGAATGCATACATGTTAGAGTATTTTAAGGAAAGGGGCAAAAAGACGCACGTCCGTAGGCGACAAGGTCCCCTGTAGGATTCGTAAAGTCGACACGGGTGTATGCAAGGGACTTGCCTGTGGGAAGGATTAGCGACTACTTGCGTGCGTTTTACCTACGATAACGCACCCATTGCAGTGACTATGGCCCTCGCATGCAAAACGTCCCCGCCTCTCCCGGCAGGTTTGATAAACGAAGCTCCTATGTCTGTTGAAACACCAGTCATGTAATGGCCCCTTGACGCGACAGCGAGAGATCCCAGGGTATCCGTCAAGGACATGATAAGACCGCCGTGCACGGTCTGAATGTATGGATAAGCGAGAGTGGAATGATGAAGGGAAAGGCACGCACTCCAACCCTGTTCACTTGACTTTGGTCGTCAAATCCAAGTTCGAGTCGTGCACTAAGGACCCGGAAGCTCACGATTATACGGCTCGATTTTCAAAGACGTCTCGACCGTTCCGGGGAGTGCCCGACGAATCTCGAGCTGTGGTGCCGTTACTTAGAATAGCATCGGTGCGAATATAATCATGCACGCACATTGGGGAAGCACAGTCCATCGTGACCTATGTCATGCATCTAGTAAGGGCGACATCCTTGGGAATTCTCATGCCTCCAGAGCTACCTTTGTTGTCAATGAACGACTTCCAGACCTGGAGGAGTTTTGAGGAGACACGCTTGAAAGAATGAAGGCACATACCCGCCTCGTGAAGCGTAGACAAGCTGACATGTTGAGCTTTGAGAAACGGATAAGAGTGCTGGAAGATACCGTCGGGAAAGTGTCGGGACCAAGAGCCAGCGCGTGGCATTTCCTTTGTTTGTTTCTGAAGCTCTTGCCAAACACCGACGCGACGGACACGCCTCCTCCACCCCTCCGCCAACATACCACCTCATTGTGGTCCAGCTATCATTTCATTATGGACGAGGTATCCGCGACATCCCAACTAGGTCCCACTAACAGAAAAACTATGCGCGACCGGACAACATCCTTTAACTCTCTTCCGCAAATTCGCGGCGGACAGGTCAGAACGCGTGCTGGCCTGGCAGGTCATACGCCCATGAGCAGCTTGCACAGCTTCACGTACGCTATCGTTCTCCCTGCATTCTAATCAGATTTTCTCCAGCCTTCTGATACACCTGATACGCAGGTCGGACACAGAACACTCTGAAATTATCTCACCCACACCCAGGCGCGACCTTCTCCAGACTTCTCAAAGCCCGCATTGGCTCCAGCTCGACCACGATGGTGGCTTTCCGCACGAGCGCAATCTCTCTCCCGTCTCTGCAACATCCTCCATAGCCTCTGCCGTGCATTCTTCAGGAGCGACTAGCGCGACCAAGAGACGCAGTTTCAGCACGCTGATGGAGAAGGAGAGGCTCAAGCGCCGGTTCCCCACCTCGCCAATGACGCCCAGCGGGAGTAGGGATGTGGGCCTGGGCACGATTCCGGAGGCGGAGGAGCCAGATACGGGTGCAGCGAGGAGGTATGTGAGGTGGTTGCATAAGAACTCGATGAAGGCGTATGCGGTGCCAACCGCGGTTGCTGCGTCGTTCTTGGTGAAATGGTGCATTGGCTTGGGGTCGTACTCAGGTGCGTAAACATGGGCTTCTGTCTCGGAGATTGCGACTCACAGGGTTGCGCTTCAGGTCAAGGTACCCCTCCAATGTACGGCGACTACGAAGCCCAGAGGCACTGGATGGAACTTACTATCCACCTTCCTCCTCGAAAATGGTACACCTACGACCTCCAGTACTGGGGTCTCGACTATCCACCATTAACGGCATATGTTTCCTGGATATGCGGTCAAGTGTGAGTTACACTAGCACATTTCCCATCCCTTGACGATTCATGACTGCCTTCGATAGTGGTGCCTTGGTCAACCCAGCGTGGGTTGCACTCGATAGCTCAAGGGGTATTGAGACACCCGAGAGCAAGCTATTCATGCGATCGACTGTCATGTTTTTCGACACCCTCATATACGTCCCTGCACTATATTACTTTATCAAGACCTGGCAAGACTCGCGGTCATCCAGGACCCAGGTGCGTGCTTCCCGGTGCGAAAGAGTCATGAACCTGAATGGGCCCTCAGCATGTCGCGCTGCTCATTCTGCTGCTGCAACCAGCGCTACTCCTCATTGATAATGGGCACTTCCAATACAACTCTGTAATGCTTGGTGCGTATACGCGGTTACGATTAGCTTGGTGTTCTGGCTAACCGACGCTGTCGTGTTCAGGATTGACATTGTTTGCCTTGTCATCCTTTGCCAAAGGGCAAGACCTCGTCGGCGCGGCCTTCTTTGTTCTCAGTCTCGGTTTTAAGCAGATGGCTTTGTACTACGCCCCTGCGATCGGCACTTACCTTCTCGGCAAGTGCATATATCTGGGTCCTGTCCATGGGTGAGTGTGGGTTTAACTCATGAACTCGGTACCCTTAACGTAACACCATCCTTAGCACACGCCTTTTCGTCCGCCTCGCCGCCGTCACCACCCTCACATTTGCTCTACTCTTTGCCCCTTTCCTCCCGCCGTTCGCACCCGTATCGGGCATCCTTGATCCTTTAAGCCGTATCTTCCCCTTCAACCGTGGTCTTTTCGAGGACAAGGTCGCCAATTTCTGGTGCCTCACCAACGTCGCCATCAAATGGAAACAGCTCTTCGCAGGTCGAGAACACATCCTCGTGCGGGCGAGCGCGGCGTTCACTATTCTCGGCTTCGCGCCTGCCGTCGCTGGACTCGCGTGGGGCGCGTACAAGACACGGCTGTCCCTCGTCGCGGCCGAGTCTGCGCCTGCAGTGCAGCAGGAGAAGGAGAAGGAGGAGGGGAGAGGTGGCGGAAGTGTTTTGGCGGATAAGAGGACGCAGACGGCGCTGTTGCCACTGCTGCCGTATGCGCTGCTCACGAGCGCGATGTCGTTCTTCTTGTTCTCGTTCCAGGTGCACGAGAAGACGATTTTGCTGCCGCTTATGCCGCTTATGTTGCTCCTGTCTGGCGCGTCGCATGGGGGTGAGGTGTGGGCGTGGGGTGTGCTCGGAGCAAATGTGGGTGCGTTCAGGTAAGTTGAGATTGCTTGCGGCGTGGAAGAGGTGTTGACCAATGTCGTAGCATGTGGCCACTGCTCAAGCGTGACGGCCTCGGTATGGAATACATGGCGACGCTCGCGATCTGGAATCGGCTCGTCGGGTTCAGCCCGCTCTCGCCAAAACTCGACTCCTTTGTCGGCATACTTTCCTTTGTGCGTCTCGTCTCCAATTTACTCTTATCTGATCGTTCCCACTGAGCAACCGCACACCCAGGCCGCGCACACCGGCATGTTCGCCCTCCACTTCCTTGAACTCATCTTCGCAGCGCCCGCACGCTATCCCGACCTCTTCCCCGTACTCAACGTGCTCCTCTCCGCACCCGTCTTCGGTCTTATCTGGATATGGAGCATCAAGCGCGGCATTCAGGTCGGCTGGGCGCTCGGCGGCCTCGGGCCCTCCGCGATCTCGACCCCGTCGAACTCTGTCGGCGGCGGGGGCGGCGGCTCGTATGTGCGCCAGCGCGTCATGTCGGATGCGACAAGTGTTGGTGGGGATATCGACGGCATGCCTGGGCAGACGAGCCCGGTGATTGGGAGTTTGCGGAGGGATGCGGGTGTGCGGACGACGAGTATGTCTAGTACTATGGGGAGGACGGAGAGGAAGAGGAGGACATCGACGAGGGCAGAAAGTGTGGGGCTGTAACCTGGTTGCTGGTGATTTACAATGGACATTTCGTACATATATGCATGTTGTCTGATCATGCCGTTTTGGATTAGGCTTTTCTTACGCCGTTATAATAGTGATCCTTGGAATTGGAAAGTCCAACAGCAACCGGACTCATCCAGCGGTATAATGTCGTGTATCCTTGACAGGCTACAGCGAAGCATTGACAGTAGAGGTTCCTTGATATCATAACACGGCATGGAACTAGGATGATGAGTGAAGGGGTTTAGGCAATACACTTTCTGCATACATGTCACGATATCATTGTCTCGGAGCGAACATCGTATCGATCGCAATATCTTAGCGTAGCTTAGTTGCTACATGCGAAAACTAGCCGGGTAACAAAGAAATCAAATAACCAATCTACTTATCATTCACCGACTCCACCAAATTCAGTCTAAGGGATTTCATTCAGCTCATGAACGTTGAACCCTAGTGAAGCTATCAACAACTCACCATCCACAGCTGGCGTCGGACCCTTTATGCCGAGCTCCTCTGCAAGGATTTGCAGTGCCTGAAGCATCGTCCTTTCATCACTCCAAGTCTTTTGACGAGAAGAAACATAGTTACGCACCACCAGCTTGCTATAGTACCGCGCCATGAAAAACGCCCCCGGGCAAATCCACAGCCCAGGTTGTCCTGATGGCCTGTTGAATCGTTTCATTTCACCCACGGAGTCGAGTCCAAAAACACGGGGGCCGATTTTAGAGGCAATGTTTGGACCCATGAGTGCGTGAATGCTTTCCATGATGGCCTGATTGCCCGTTCTACAGGAGTTTCCGTGAGTGAATTCATTGGAAAGAGGTAGGGAAACTGCTCACGCCAGGACGACGACATCTGCAGGGAGCTTTGTGCCATCAACGAGCACCAAGCTTTCTTCTTCGAAGTGTGAGACTTCAGCGCCTTGCTTGACCTACAGAGGGGTCAACATCATGTACTAAGTGAGTGAGAATGCTAAACCCTTACCTTTACTGTGCCGTTGGCTATGAGCTCTCCAAACCCAGTATCGAGTACTGTCATAACACTCGTCATCAACGTGAATCCAGCCCCAAACGTCCACAAAGCACGCACTCGTCTTCGCAGCAAGCATCTCGAAAATAAACGCCGCCGCACCCGCCTTCATCCCGTTACACTCCCACGTGAGCTTGAGCCCCTTTTCCTGCAGCCGCTTGTGGAGATCCGCGTCCATGCTCTTGACGTGCTCGAGCAGGCCGCCCTCCATCATGGCGATGATCAAGCGCGGCGGTAGCGAGTTCGCGAGAAGGTCCGCGTCCTCCATGCGCCGGCCGGGCACAAAGTAGTCGGCAGCGAAGGTTGCGTTAAAGGTCGCAAGGGACTGGTGGAATATTGCGCTGCGCTGAACAACGGTGACCTGCATGTGTTTTGAGACAAATTAGAGGAAGGATGTGTCTAGTAGGGGGTGGTTGGGCGATGAGTTTACCTCAGATGCGCCATTGGCCACAAAGTCTTGGATTATGTCGCCCGAGGCGTTTCCCTGTGTTGGCATTCATCAGCATCCTCCAAGAAAAGGGCACTGAACGTGACTGACAGCTCCGACAACAACCGCCTTCTTCCCCTTCCACTTTCCCGCACCCTTATGCAAGTCCGTATGATACACCTCCCCCTTGAACGCTTCCCTTCCAGGGAATTCAGGGATATTTGGACGACCAGTAGTCAAAGCAAGTAGAATGTACTTCGGGTGCAGCGTGACATGGTTGCCAGATCGATCAACTATGACGGTCCATCGACGAGTCTCAGAGTCGTATACAGGTTCCGGGGAAGAAAGGAGCGTGGATGAGGTCCAGACGTGCAGCTCCTGGAGGAGAACATACGATTCCATGAAGTCACCGAGGCGGGAGCCGCTGATGTACTCGGGGAAGTTCTCACTGTAAAATCCGAGCCGTGTGTTAGTATGGGTATGCAAAGTTACAGGAAGGTGGCGTCACGGACGGGAATGGCTGGTAGAGGACTGAGATGAGATAGGTTAGCTAAGTTACACCTAGGGCAGGAGTTTGGTACGATTCAGACGTACAAGTGTTGACGATAAGAGGGAAATGCAACGTCAAAGTGGGGTAGCTAGAGAGAGAGGGAAAGCAATGAATCTTCATTTATCGACACCTGAGAATGATTGTGATGCTCACCGATTTCGCCACACGTCTCCGACGCGAGGCGTCTTCTCAACAACGAGGGCACGAATTCCCATGCGCCGGAGACGAGCTGCTTGCATCAGCCCATTATGGCCCGCACCCACTTCAAAAACATACATGAGTATAAGCGCACTAAGACACAACATCCGCAATGAACCAACCTATTAAGACCGTTGGATCGCTCTCAATAGCCTCCACCTCCTTCGCTTTTTCTTCCCTCGCATTGGTCGCTGCATTCGGATCCAGCGACTTCCCGCGAGGACGTTCAGTCGGCTCCTCGTGGCCTACGAGGTCGTGCAGCACTGTATACAGTGTCATTGCCTTCCATTCGCCATCGGCTTCAGGGGATTGCACGAGGCGGAAGAAGCCACGCCCACGTGCGTGTGGAGAGCGCAGGGAGAACGTGAGCGCGCCTTGGATGCCGAACTTGGACGGGTCGTGTGGGAGGGGGAATTTCTCCGGCGGGCCCAGTGACGATTGGGTGTCGAGGACGATGTCGTGGATTCCGGTGGTGTCAAAGCGGCGCTTAGTCTCAGAGCCTGTGCTGAAGGGATTGTCGCACTCGGAGAGGAAGGATTCTATGGCAGAGCGGCTGGAGATGGATCTGAAGTCCCAGGAGAAACAGAGGTGATCTATTAAAGTGTATAAGGTTAAGAGTGACAGAGACGCAACTGAATGTTTGTTCAGGCCAATACATACCACGAAGCCAGCCAACTGCTACGAATTGTTGAGCGAACTTGGCAATGTCGCCTTCAGCAGCAGCGCTGTTGAGTCCAGCCACCCATTCTGTCGCAAGTTTATTCATGTCAATTTCTTCGTCAGCCATCGCCCGGGGGTTTCACAAAGAAGCAAGCTGGTCGTTGATCGCTGGGCGGACAAGGAAGGATGCGGGTAAACTAGATATCGGCTTAGAAGGCTCCAAGGATACCATATATGCCCACAGTTGCATTATCTTTATCCTGAATTTGATGCAAGTGTTCGAGCGCTAACTCAAAGAGAGTCCCCACGGGCTAACGGCACTGTCCTCATACATACCGTAAACCTTGCGAACCACTTTCGCCAGAAGGAATGGAGGGCGTAAGTGGCGCGGGCAGGTGACTTTGATGGGTCTGGGAATTGAATGTACGAAGGCCGGCATTTCGCTGAAGACTGTCAGGATTCGAGAGTGCACCGCATCGGAGGAACGGGAGTAGAGGCCGAGGACGAGGGAACGGATCGAGGGAAGAAGAGGACGGAGGGAATGGATCGAGGAACGGGAGAAGAGAAGCAGCGTCGGCGGAGAGAAAGAGAAGGTCGAAGGCAGGAAGCAGGAGAAAGGAATGCCGAGGTATATCAAGAGAGCGCCCGCCGCCGAGCTGCCCCCCCATTCGCTAGTACCACAGCGTCTTGGGGGTAAGCTCATATCGCCTCAGGACTAGGGATCCATACTCACGTCCTCTCCCTAGATCCATACTTATATACTTCAGGTACATTAGACTCATTCGCTAGTACCACAGCGTCTTGGGGATCCATACTTATATACTTCAGTTTCTCACAAAGACTTACCTCATAACGCCGTAGGTAGTAAGACTGGCTTCATGTCAGACAGTTGCTACCTCATTGAAGAAGGCCACCCCAGCCCTCGTGTCTCACTGGCACTGACGGACCCAACCCGGGCACTGGCTCCTGTGTCGTACGTGAGCATGCCTTTACTTACTGAAACGGTGAACAGTAGTGGACCAAGGATTTTTCGACTCTTAGCCCGTGATCAGATGTTTAGATGATGGCAATGTCTCTATCCAGTTTCCGTCTTTTTGGCGGCTTGTGACCATTATCAAGTAGAGCTCCGAGCAAAACCCCGAGACAGCGTGAGATTTATCAAGCGCTGACCAACTCCATGATACCCTGCCGAAGATGCCAGTAGATGTTTATAAGCGCGGTGTTGTTTTTTGAAGAGTGCTAGACACTAAACCCTATGCGTAGACACCAATAAGCCTACTAAAAGCCGCAGTGAGCGATACGTATTATATGAGGCCAAAAGAATGTGTCAAGGGAAAATGTGCCCACCTCAAGTGCTCGATTCAGCGCTGGATTGCATTTCAGCGCTCTAGGTACAGAGGGAACGAAATTCAGGTTTAGATGCGTAGAGTGCTTGGAAAGCGCATGGTTATAATTTGAGCTCGGACTCTCGGAGGCAACGCCGACCAGACAGGGGCTGCTTGCTTACCAAGCCGGGGTTACGTCTCAGGCCGGGCACTGCCGCCGCTCGGATGTTTGACGTGCGCCCGACGGCTTAGACATCTTTCTCCTCCATGCTTTCACCTTCAGACCTTTAATCTTCCTCCTCCATCGCATACAACCCTGGATCTTCACAGCAGTCTCATCGCCATCGTCAGTAACAATGCTCAGTGCGGCCCGCCTGTCGTCTTGTAGCAGACTTCCTCAGTCCGCTGCTACCTCGGCTTGGGTTCGCGGTCTGGCGACAGACTCCACAACTCACGCAGACAGTCTCCCTCCGCCTCCACTACGCAAGCAAGAGAGCACCAAGCCTCGCTCTGCAACGGCCTTCAACCCCCGCCCCAGGTCTACGGCGTACGCTCGTGCTCAGGCGCTCTCCAGCCTCCCGCCTTCGTTCGGCAGCAACCAACTCTTGCCCGTCGCGGACTCCACGCGGGCCCTGCTCGAGGACATCGTCGGCACCTTCAATGCCCCTATTCGCTACGCATTCGCATATGGATCGGGAGTGTTTGAACAGGCGGGGTATAGCACGGAGAAGGGCGTGGCTGGAAAGGAGGGCGGGCCTATGCTGGACTTCATCTTCGCAGTCTCGCACGCGGACCACTGGCACTCCATCAACATGACCCAGAACCCTGGGCACTACCCACTCCATGCGCGGGCGTTTGGATCCTCGTTCGTTTCGAAGGTGCAGGAAACTGGACCCGGTCTGTGGTTCAACGCCTCTGTGCCCATCCGCGGGACGGTGAGTCTTTCTCAAAGTTTGCTCCTGCCTTCGAGGAGGCAATCTAAAAATAACGTGTCGCGTGCTCATCGCGTTTTGCTCGTATGCGCGTAGACCATCAAGTACGGCGTCGTCACCGTCGACACCCTCTGCGCCGACCTCCTCAATTGGCGCACGCTCTACCTCGCTGGGCGGATGCACAAGCCCATCCGCATCATCAAGGACGACCCACGCGTCCGGCTCACGCAACAGGTTAACCTCACCTCTGCGATCCGGACCGCGCTCCTCACACTCCCGGAAACATTCTCGCAAGCCGAACTGTTCACCAAGATCGCGAGCATCTCCTATAGCGGGGATCCGCGTATGCTCCTTCCCGCCGAGAACCGCGCTAAAGTCGCGAACATCGTCTCGCGGCAGGAGGAGCAGTTCCGCGAGCTCTACTGGCGCCTCGTGCGAGGATTACCGGGTGTGCAGTGGGACGCGACGTCCTCGCACATCCGGCAGGATACGAGTCCCTCCGCGCGCTCGGCGCACCTGCGCAAGCTGCCCGCGGAGCTCCTCGCACGCGTGCAGACGCGTTCTGCGGGCATGGGGCCGCCCAAGGAGGCGGACGAAGCGGCGTATTGGCTGCGGCTTGCTGGAGACGGGCGCCTTCCGGAGATTGTCAACTCAGGTTCGTCATATGCGCTACTTTGTTCTGTCTGCAGTGTCTGACCTGTGTTGGATCCTCACGTATAGAAATGGCAAGCATCGTTCGATACCCCGCCACAGTCCAATCCCTCAAGGGCATCGTCAGCGCTGGTCTCGGCAAGAGCATGCGATACACCGCCGCCAAGGTCGGCAAATGGTGGAAGGGGCGTGGATCCGGATCCGCGTCTTCGTCATAGCTTTCTAGCCCCGTGCACCCCGCGCTTGAGTCCCCTTGTTGATTTGGTGGATATCGACATCATGTTTCGCGTCCTCTCATCTGAAAGAAACGAACAGTATTAATACAGCGTTTTGGGATCAGCACATAAATCATCAGCATATCACCCCGCATTGCAGTTACACCATATAGATTTCAATCTACTTCCTGCTTACCGAGACCTCCATCGCCCCCTCTTTTCAACCTCACCTGCCGACACCCACCGACAAGCACCGCTTCATTCATTTAAATAAACATGTCCGTATAACACCCCATGTACAGTATCAACAGCGTAGTTTGCAGTTAATTTACTGGACGTTATGGTATTTTCTCTGGATCTGCGGCTATGGTCATTGTGTTAGTACTAAACATTCAGAACATTGGACTAACGCCCGAGTTATGTCAAGCGCCTCCTATGCTTTAGGGCAGCTCTAAATAATGGGACAACCACCGCGTGAGATTACTGCGCGCATTGCTTGTCAATCGTCGTCTCATGTCTGATTGAAACCAACGTTGAACAGTGACATGTTTTAGGACTCTAACAAACGCTTTGCCTGCTCGTTCTCATTTACCCTACCGTACTGTCTTGCACGTCGAGCGCCTACTATCGGCCAGCAATTCCCACCACGGAAGGCAGATTTCTACTCCGGTGTGCATTTCGGGGACCACGAAATGTACTCATGATCAAAGGTTCCTGTTTTTACACAGCAACATCAACCGATGCACAAGCTTAAGGCTGGGAGGATGGGGCATAGCGGTACTCGTTATACCATCGAGTTACTGAATTTCCTTTCATATCGAGCCTTCCCAAGCACAGCAACCACTATATCTTCAGAAACAAGGCACAAAAACAATTTTGGAGTGACATTGACACTGCATCTGTTCATGGTTGGCGGATCGTATCGATTCTTCACTGGTGCCTCTACTGAAATGAGCGTTATCGCGCTTTTTGAGAGGACGTTGCGTTGCTTGTACACGTTTTTGGATGGTAATTGGATAGTTCCGGTCATGTTCTTATCAGGCGCCCGCCGCACCAAGTTAACGCCCTTGATATATGATGCAATGAAGGTAATATGGTTGCAGGAGCTCCGTGGTTGTCAACGGGTATTCCGTGCCAATCAAGGTATTTCGAAGTAAGCACCCATAACGTTTGATGTCCTTTCAGAAGTTATATATACCTCTGATGAGTAGCTTGGTGTTCGTCCAACTCAATTTCAGGTCGCTGGAGGTCGTCTCATATGACAAATATGGGTGACAGCTATTGCTCATGCTACTCATTGTATAGGTACAGAGGCTGTTGTTACAATGCACTTCATTCTTCTTGTAGCATAGTGTAAGTTACCACCGATCATAGTATAAATGCAGTGTTTCTTAATAGAACCTAACAACGATTTGGTACGGGCTTCCAGATGCCACATATTGATCGGTGTTATACGCTTTTCAATTGGTGCCTGCAGCTCCAAGGTACGAATTTGAACAGCTGGCCGAGAGTGATATAAGTACTTGCCGCCGTTTTGTGGGGTACCTTTTGAGTCCCATCTCTCCCTCCGCACCTTGAGCCTCCCATCGCGCAAGCAGGAATGGATCTCAGTCCAGCTGAGTACACTCTGGAAGTCAGCACATTTGTTGGCACCGCGTTCATCATGTTCATCCTAGGTACTTTGCATTGATTTATTTTCTGCACGCCGTTTTCTTACCCACTCGATGCAGGATTGGACGTCAGCATGTATATCACGTCCGTTTATCTGCTTCTTACAAAGCAGCATCTCAGCGTCCGCTGGAGGTGCTTTTACATCGCATATGGCGCTGTGCTTCTCACTCTTATGACGGTGTATGTCATGGTCAATCAATACTTCGGTCAGCTCCTCTGGATCGACTACCGCAATGGTCCTGGTGGACCACCTGCTTGGTTTCAAGCCCATGTCAATAAGGCCCTGTATAATATCGGTAATGGGGTAGCAAGCGCATCTAACATCCTTGGAGATGCCCTCATGGTAAGTACATATATGTTCTCCATGATTCTCCGCAATTATCGAGCTGAACAGTTCAAAGCTTCACCGTTGTTACGTCATTTCTACACGCGGCTGGATGATAGCCTTTCCTTGCTTTCTTTACTTGAGCACGATCGGTGTGTTTCAGTATTACTATCCTCCTGTTTGCTAGCCAACTCTTTGGACGCCATCATTGGTACAGGTTTATGCATTGCTACCACCGTCGTCGCTGGGCAGCCCAACGCCGATATGTGGACTGGTGTAGCTGGGCATCTCAACGTCGCTTGGGTTGCGTCTACGGTATCCTTCAACGTGATAGTCAGCACAATGATATGCCATCGGATAATAGCTTTCTGGCTTGCGCATCGCCACACGATACCCAGAGAGTCACTACGTAAATACACTGGCGTAATTAGCATGGTTGTTGAGGCAACACTCCCTTTCACAGTATTAGGAGTTTCATATCTTATTTTAATGTTATGCAATAGCGGCACTGAAGCTGCTTTCGATGATGTCTGGTCAATGTTCTGCGTATGTGTCGTCTTACCTCTCCTTGATAGAAATATGCTGATGACGGAACCTCCGTAGGCGCTGTCTCCGCAGCTTGTTGTGCTACGGATCTCTATGGGACTCGGCTGGTCCAAACAGACACTTCAGCAGGTAACGCAAACAAATCGACCGGGTCGCTGGAGCGTTGTCGATACACCCATTTCGAACAAAAACAACATAGAACTTCAACCCTACTGGAAGCGTAGCACAAGTCTGACTAACCATAATCCGGCTCTGTCTTCTGAGGAAGAGAATATCTTGGTAGGAGCAACGAACGTGTAACCTCTATGTAATTTGTCCCCATCTGTTACCGTATACCGTTCAGGTTTCTCTCACTACATTGACGTGGTACATCCTCTGTATCTTTTATATTTCCTTGTTCACCATCGTCTTGGTAGCCTTGAATGTCCTCTGTTTATTCGTTCGCTTCTTGGGACTTTGTGTTGGATACTCCACTGTTCTTCGGGGTGAGAATCAATAAATGACAATGTGCAAGGCCGAGTTCGCTCATGAACGGCATTAAATATCTTGATACCCCAAGCAACCAGACTCATAGCCTTGGTTGAGGGGTTTGGTGTACTAAATGGACTCGCGTATGTCTTCTAGCATTCATCGGATGATGTCACTCACAGGTACCTAGTGTTGCCGGGTCTGATTCCTCAACTGGCAGTTAACCATAAATATGTATGACACCGCTCCCTTTCTCCCCCATTAGTAGCAAGGAGCGTACAACAGACATTGCGTACACTTCAAAAAATTTGTACGATAAACAAGGAGCAGTTGTCCAAGCGTACGCCAGGAGTTTGGATTGGGAAATTCTTATTTAGAATATTGACATCCCCGCTGGCGCATTATCATCCCTGCCGTAGCTGTAAATGTCTTAATGAATCTAGAAATTTCCCTTATTTTGACCATGCGCTCAGGATGATGATAAAAAATAACAATCCAAAGGCCCGCCACTGTGAAAGTAGACCAACATGAGATTCATGCACATGAAGCCTGACTACACCGAATCAAGTGATTGGTACCTGAGATTGAAGTCATGTTGCACTACATGAAACGATAAGCCAGGTACTTTTTACTTGAGTTGAGAGGTCATGTTATAGCACATGAAATGGGAAATTCAATACATGGAGCCGTCACATGATCAAGGTCCAAGGTGATGACGCATACTTTGGAGTTGGTTGGTTTGTACGCTGTTGTACGCTTATCCTTGTTGCTCACCACCACCATCGCCGCTCGCCACCATCCTTGTCACTATACTCATCACCCATCCCCGCCCACCACCTCCAACTCCGCAATGGACCTCCCTATCCCCCATAACTTTCCAATCGGCACTCATCACCTCTACAACTATGAGCTAATGGCGGCGTACAAGGAACACGGCCATACGAAGGAAAACAAGGAGAGCCTCCGCTCATGGGTCCGGCGCCCGCGCGGACCCGAACTTATACAGAAACACCGCGAGCAGCCAGTTCATGCGGCTATGTTTAAGGACGACAGATACAATCTCCCGATGGAGGACGGAGAGGTCAAAGGCTAGGATGAGAATGCCTTGGTGCATGTCAAGAACGGGTATGAGAAGTTGGACAGCGACTGCATGTGAGTATTCCTCTCCCTTCTCCAGATATGAAGCTTGTCATTCTGACAGCTGTACCATCTCATTTTCAGTCTACACTTCGCCGTCATCCCCATGAATCGCCGCATCCAGCGGTGCGCAAGGTACGCTCTATCACTCGCTCATCTCCGTGGCTCAGCCAAGCTCATACATGACGCCCGCACCCACCGCAGGATTCGATGATTTACCTGGGGCTGGCGCTGGCGCTATCAAAGACATTACTGAAATGAGCCTGTCCTGACGAGCTTGCGAGGCTGCAGCACGGTCGTCACGTCAGTTTCACGTACAGCAACTGCATCCTCTCGAGGCCGCGGGGCAGGCAGATGTCTTCAAGCACCGTGCGATTGTCAGCTGGCTCTGGAGTGTACGTGCGTATTGGAAGGCTCAAAACGGCAACACCAACCCACTTGCCACGCTCCCGCCCGTGCTACCGTACCAAAACGCGCGATCTGCGCCGAGGCATCACGACAAATTCACCGTAGGAACTCGCCCACCTCTACCTCAAGCTCTCGGGTGAAGCCCCTTCACGAGCGTTCATTCCCACCGGTGACGGTACCTCCCTCCCTCCTCTCAAGTTCGCTGAGGGACCAGCACCGAAGAAGGATCGGACGAGGATGAATGAGCGTACCATCACGCTATGGCGATGGCTGGAAGAAGGAAACGGGTGGAATCGTATGATGGCGAGGCCATTGACATGAATCGCGACGGAGGCAGTGACGACGGCGACGATGAGGGTGGCAGCGCCCCTCCCCCTCAAAACGTGCGGTCGAAAGCAACTGGATTAGGTACCGACCCTCACATAGTACCTATTTATCATGCCAATAGAATATCAGTTTCAGTGCATTTGATCTGTATGCGCCCATAATAACCACTGTAATGAATATGAATGTCAAGTAGAACTCAATGAAACGGTGGGATTGCCGCAATTTGTTCGCAAAATATCAGGTAGGAAAACCTGAATTAGTACCTTGAATCGTAAAGATCCCAACTGATTTTGTGTCACCCCGGTGAAATGATTTTCATGTGAACATCCTATGAATATCAGAGGGTATGTACATGAAAACTACAAGTTATGTATGTGATTTCGTCACCTGAAAATCAAGTTCATCCCTCCTCACAGTGCCGAGGACCAACGGGTCAATGAAGCGACCAGGAATAAACCTGTACTTAGCAGCTCAAGCTCAAGCCCTTTGGATGTAAATAGGGCACGCCACAACCGGCCATGGTATAATAGTGTATCCTCTATTTCCTCGTAGATGCCGTCCCAAAGTATCTGCCAATCTCGATTTCATACTCTTGTTGACTCATCGAGAAACAAAAGGGTTAGGTACGACATAACCTACAAGTAAAAATACAACTTCGATGGCTTGGTTAAGAGTCAAACATATGCTCTCGCTTACACTCACTCCTCCGAGCCCTCACCCTCTTTCTTGATAAACATCCACCACCCGGGAACCGGTCTCACAGTGTCTCTCTGTCCAGACTGAGACAAATATTTGTCGTTACTCGAACAAATTGCACTTCCCATGCTCCCCGCTACGAGTAGGGTCTTGAATATCTCGCCGTTATCGTCGAGCTTGACGTCTACTTCAGCCGTTCCCACTGGGATTTCCCCAGTTTCGACGCGTGGGTAGGAGACACCGTCGAGAGTAAGGTACGGGGCGCCCCTGGGTCCACGCTGAGGCGCGAAGTGATCTTTGGCGAAGGTTTCTCCACTGAGCTTGGCGTACTCTGTCGACGGGGAGCCTGAGGGAGGGAGGTTCAGCAGATGTGGACCCTTCCATTTCCCGTCAGCATCGAATACGCAGAACGCAGTAACCCAGCCCATGAGGTACGAGGGACCGCTCCCGCCGCTGTGGATATGGGCAATCTTCCCCCAGAAATCGATGTTCTCCTTTCCGGTGGGATCGTCGAACGCGTTCACGAAGCGCGACAGCACGGGTCGGAGCAAGTGGCACCACGCTGTCGTCTCGAACCCGTACTCCTTCAGTTTCTCTATCCTCTGCAATATAACCACCCAGTCCTCGCGCGCTCCATCCAGCGTCACGCGGGGAATGCCACATCTGAGCGCAAAAGTGAAGTCGAAGTACTTCTTCGTTGTTGCCATGAGTGCGATCGCATAGATCGTACTGTCCGTAATGGTTGTCGTGCTGAATGTCGGCGTCGCCCACTTGCGCAACTCCGCATCTGTCAAGTTTATCTCGAGAAGATCCGCCATCTGTCTGGCCATGCTCCCGAAGTCGACCGTGTAACGTGTACCTATTGCTGTTACCTTGAGCTCCATCTTCCCCTCGTGCGCAACAAAGAGCGAACGAAGCTCTTCCGCATGTGCGTTCACAAAGAACGAGAATTGGGTCACGATGGCGAGCCACACGTCGTCCGGACGGAGTACGAGCGCGCGGTGGTTGTTGTATGCCTCGAGCAAGGTGTGGACGAGGCCGTTGCGCTGTGGGATGATATCGCTGATGTCGACTTCTTTGGGAATGGAGGACTGAAGCAGCTCAGCACATTTCTTGTACTGTTGATTGCACGCGCCCTGAAGCAGCTTCTCTGGGGCCGTCCGTTTATCTGCCGACTTCCTGTGGCCTGAAGGACTGCCTCTCTCAAATGACTCCGCCGGATGAGTGGCAGGCTTGAATACGACCGACGTGGGCGCGGTGGATATGCTCTGCGATGTCTCGATTCAGAGGATCTACCAGCGTCATGGTAGGATAATAAGCTGGGAGGACTCACGAGAGTGTTGTTGGTGAAAGTTTCCATTTCGCTGGGTGCGTCGCTCTTGTCCAGATATTACCTGGATGATAAGAACTCTTTGTTCAACAGACGCATTGTGTCACGTTGATGTACCATTGCTTACCTGGATCCTTGGGTGATGCGACGGAGCAGGTTATCAGATCCCAGTTTTGGCCGTGCGGACCGTATTTAGCTACCCAGATACTCGTGATCTGGCCCTCAATCTGCTGTGTGGCGTCAAAATATCGTGGGAAAGCTGTTTGTTTGGGAGTTATTGCAGCTGATCGCAGCCTCTCGTTCATCAAAAGCTTAGACCGTCACTAAATGGGCGGTCCGAATATAAGTACATGAGCAGTAGTAGAATCCGTTATAACTGACACCGTACCTTAGTGATATTTTGAATCTCCAGCACGAGTGGAGCGTAAAGTCCGTTTTTAACATACAGGAAATCAGACCAAAATCAGACGGTGAAATGGTCAGATCAGGGATGATATTATAATATTGATGGCTATCTTACCGTTGACGGTGCCTGCATGATAATTACATGATAAGATCGGCTGGTGTTTTATGACGTATGATAAAAGCTCACACCATATGATGAGGACTCGCAATCTCGCCCATGATTCCAATGACAAGACATTCATTGTGAATATTATATAGTACATGATGTAGCATTATGCGAGGTTAAACCGATGAACGAGGATAATACACGAGAGCAGCAGCAGTAGACGAGCGCAGGCGCAGGAAGTACAAAGAAAGAATAAAGCGTATAGACCGTGAAGCGACAGTTGGAAGGGAGCAAGAAAATAAAAACATACGTTAGGGCGAACACAGGCCCGGGACAAACAATCTCTGGGAAGGGAGGGGACGTGAGCGAAATGAAGCAGTGATACACTGATATAACATACCTAGTTGCCAGTCTTCTTCGCCGGTTGTTTTCCCCCTGTACTAATCCTGGCACTCTTTGCCCTGGTTTGAATGGCAGGCTTTGGCACCGGCGCTGGATCTTCTTCAATTGAGGAGAGGTCGGACTCGATAGCGCTCGCTGGTGCCTTGCTACCGGAGGACGTGGGTGTTAGAAGTTATGGTATATTAGACCCCATACGCAGTAGTACATGCGGATGGGGGAAAGCGAGGCGAGAGGTCGCCCATATATACATGTCGGCGACCCCATGCATTCCAACCTTTATCCCTTCACGTTGTCCCGCTTCTCTGCTTCTCTACCTCTCCTGAGCATCCCGAGCTGTCCTCTATCCGCTTCTCTGCTTCTCCCGAGCATCCCGAACCGTCCTCTGTCCGCTTCTCCGCTTCTCCCGAGCATCCCGAGCCATCCACCAGACCAACGCCGGAGCGGTGTACAACCTCACTCAGACAGAGAGCGGTGATACCAGCGATGAAGAAGGAGACCCAGCATAGCTTGCTGAAGCAGAGACTGCAGCACGTACAGATCAAGAGCTTTTTTTGGGTGAAGACGAGGCTCTCACCAATGCAACCGGGTTCGCATCATTGTAAAGGTCAGCGGGTATTCGAATCTCTACCGTTTTTATTGTTCGTTAGTGTTCGTGTCTACCTAAAGCGGTGGCTGCCATATGCAGTTGAAGTTATCGCTCAATGATAATTTTGTTTCTGGAATGGTCTCCGTATTTTATATTCGACTAACAAATGTACGAGCAAGATCATCAATTTTGATCAATGGTAAAGTGTCCGCGACATGGTGTTCGGCCGAAATTCACTGCCACACCATAAGGATATGTTCACTCAATGGGAATGCGTCACCATTCGTGATCATACAAATCTATCTCGACGATGATATTATAACAGTGATCACTCGGTATAACGGTCAAACTTTTCCCACCCATTTAGTGATGACTACCCTTAAGTCCGCCTGGCGAAATGCTGACGGAGAGTTGGAAGCAGCTTCTGCACAAGAAAAATTAGCTGAGTTGACTCTTCTATTTACAGGTTACGATACAGCGACAGCGCGATCTAGACACAAGGTCAGTAAGGTACGAAGGACTCGGAGCGCAAGTAAACGTCTGTGTACACCGGAATAGAGTACTAGTGCCGGTCGCGACGTAGTGAATATTCTCACCTCGTCGCGCGAGGAACGAACACTTCTACCACATTGCATTTGTTCACCAAGCCTCGGGCATTCCAAGCTGAGTTTCAGGCATCAATCACCTCTCGATTCTAGTCACATCACACTGTACAAAACCCTGGGTATTTGTGGGACAGAACCGTCAATTAACATTGTGAGAAGCACACTCAGTGCGATTTATTTTCTCGGATGCTCAGTCCTAGTTGGTACTGTAAACCTGTACCACTCAACAGCCGATCGACTTAAGTAAATGGCATCTTCATCGAATCATGAATTTCTATTAGGAACGGATGTCTTCCACGATCTATATGTATTCTACCTACGGATGAATGTCGAGTAGCAAGTCTGCGTCCGACACAACCAGGTAGTTCGGCCTGGTGTTGTAAAACCGGACATTACGACAGTGTCTCTTTCTAGAAGCCAACACGTAGTACGTGTGTACCTTGTCAGGCTGTATCAGGAATCATTCCGACATAACCAGGACTAGGCCGCCTAGTCCTGGTTGTGTTGGAATGACTTGTACTATAAATTCCCAGGTCAACGTAGTGAACTGTATGCATGATGTACCAGGTGGGCACCATCTTCAGGGCAACATAGGCAAAGGTACCTATGGTCTGACCGACAAACTTTAAGACCAATGCAAATTCTTGTCCCACCTGATGCACGTCTGTATATCTCTATAGGCCTAAGCGCACATGGTCACTAGGGCTCGTGCCTGTTCTACATACGTGTCTGATATTCAGGCAAACAACAGTGAGAGCCATTTTAGGATTTTGACAGGGCTTTCCTCCCAGTGTTGTGGCCCCAGCTCCGAAAGTGCCTCCGCTGGGTCTCCGTCCCGGCCGGAAGGGGTAATACGACGGCCAAGGCACCGGATCACGCTCCCTTGTGCTCGTCTCACGTGGTTTTTACGACCTTTCGACAACGAGACCCACCACGCTCGCTCTTCTCCTACCTCGTGCAAGGACAAGCACGGTTCGTGCCAAGCTCGTCTGCTACCTTTCTGAATCTCTTTCGACCTCGATGGACAGTGAAAGCTGGGGCGGCGCCAGTTGTGCGACAGGACTAGATTGATCGCGTCGATGTGCTTGTGACGCGCTGTACGCGCGTCTGTGCCTGTCCATGTACGTCTTGTCATATGGCGCCTTCCACCGTCGCAGATAACGGCCGCCAGCAAAGCCTTGTCAACTCGTCGCCCCCACTTCCGCCGGCCTCTGCTCGCCCTGGATCTTGCTTCCTCGTACCCCGTGGTCGGTGCCCGGACGAGGTCAGATGATGTGCTATGATTCTATGATGCTTCTCTATCCAAAGGCCAGGATCCTCCCTTGTCGGTTCGCTGCCTTCCATCGCCGTCTCGCATCGTCTGCACGCGCGCCAGTCATTCCAAAAGGGAAATTGAAATGTTCGTCAGGATGGAAGCACATGCCATTGCAACAGCGCGTTCTCGACGGGTCGTATAAAGGTTTCCTTGGCCCCAGCTCGCTTCCCTCCGCCCCCCACAGGTCTCGTTCACCATGTCCCTTAGGAGGTTAGCTCTTGCTGCGTATACCCTCTCTGCTGCCGCGTCCGTACACGGAGCTGCGCTGCAGCCTGCCGGTCTCGCCGTGCCGAGCAACTACTCGAGCCAGCTGGACGCTGTCAAGCAGATCTTCAACGTCAGCTACTCTGCTTACCAGTACGTGCTGTTCTTCAGTTGTTTCAATCTTGATGAATACAGGCTGGGCTAACATCGTCTTGAAGGCAGTACGCGTGGGGCCACGATGAGCTCTTGCCGGTCAGCAAAAGCTACACCGATTACCTGTTCGGATGGGGCGCGACCATTGCCGATGGGCTGGACACGATGTGGATCATGGGTTTTACGGTATGCCACCTCTCGTATCAGCGTTAACGCCGAGACTCATGGCAAGCAGGACTTGTTCGAGCAAGGTGTCAACCAGTTGGCTACTGTTGACTTTAACAATGCCACAGGAGGTAGCTACAAGTAAGCTCATATTGCATGTCGCAATAACAAATCACTGACATAGATTATGCAGCGTCTTCGACGGTACCATTCGCTACATCGGAGGCTTGTTGAGCGCTTACGAGCTCAGTGGCCAGAAGTACCCCGTTCTCCTCCAGAAGGCTCAAAACATTGGTGACAACTTGGCTTACGCCTGGGTTGATGTGCGTAACTTACAGCTTCGTATAGGCTGCTAAAGCTGATGGCACTTCGTGCTCTAGGGCAATGCCATGCCTTACAACGGTCTCAACGTGGATCACTCTGTTCAGCAGGGCACGGTAAGTACTATTATCTGAGTCTCGTACGCAGATGTTCACATGTATATTGAAGACCAACGTCGCTCAAGTTGGTACTGTAAGTCCAACCACCCATCATGAAGCTTTCCGCCTAGTGACCGTTTCACCTTAGCTCACCCTGGAGTTCGAACGGCTGAGCTACTATACCGGCAATGACACGTACCGTCAGCTGGCTGAGAAGGCCGCTCTCGCTGTCGCCGCGAGCGTGAGTGTCTTGGCGGATTGATTATTTAAACATCCATGCTGATAGTCGATCAGCCCGACCCCATCCCTGGCATTCCCGCTCAGGGTCTCTATCCCACTGGCGAGTTCGTTGACAGCTATGTTGTACGTGCTCTGATTCTTCTGTCGGATTGTCGATTGACGATACGTATGCTTTTTGATAGACGTGGGGCGGAGGAACCGACAGCTATCTTGAGTACCTGATCAAGTATCCCCGTCTGACGAACACGAATGACACCACGTTTGCGGATACCTGGGCTACCGCTGTCGATTCTTCCATTAAAAAACTTCTCAAGGTGCGCATCTCCCATGTCTGTGAGACGCGTCCCGATCTAAAGATTGTGCACGTAGACATCGACCGTTGGCGACTTCCTCTACCTCGCCGACTACGACGGCAGCCAGATCCGTCATGTCAGCGGGCATCTGAACTGCTTCTATGGTGGCAACTGGATTCTCGGCGGCAAGATGCTCAATAACGACACCATCGTCAACTACGGTCTGCAACTCACTGATGCCTGCATCAACACCTACCGCGGCACTGCGTACGTCGCACATCACCGCTTTCTGTGTCATACGACCTGACCGAGATCCGCTCAGCACCGGCATCGGCCCCGAAGGCTTCGCCTGGATCTCCGACGACGGCAACTACACCGGCTCATCAATCAGCGACGACCAGCTAAGCTTCTACGCCGCGCACGGGTACTACATCACCTCCGCGGACTACATCCAGCGGCCCGAGGTGCTCGAGTCGAACTTCTACGCGTGGCGCGCGACGGGCGACACCAAGTACCTGGACAACGCGGTGTCCGCGCTGCAGGCGTTCGAGAAGTACCTGCCGAGCGCGGCGGGGTACGCGGGCATCGACGACGTGGACAGTGCGAGTCCGGCGCAGTATGATGACCAGGAGGCGTTTTGGTTCGCGGAGGTGCTGAAGTATTTGTATTTGACGTTTGATGATCCGGGGAATGTGTCGCTTGATGATTGTGAGTTTTTCCTGGTGCTGTTGGGTGGGTGGGCGAGCGTTATGCTGACGGGTTGTTATCGTTCTTTGCAGACGTGTTCAACACCGAGTGCCACCCCTTCAAGGCGCCCACCGCGCTCGCGCAGTATGGCTCGGGCAAGCTCAAGGCTCCCTCGCAGCAGCCCATGAAGACCGTTGCCGGCCCCGCGCCCATGGTCTCGGGAAAGCCTAGTGTTCTGAGCCTCCTTGGACTATAAAAGTTTGAATATTGGGCAAGAATAAGAATTTGGGACTCTGGATGGGTGATATATGTTTGGGGTTTCTTTATTCGGTTATGGCTATTAGGGAGGTGATGGGTTAGGTAGATCTCTATAGAGGGATGAATCTACCGATGCGAGCTTGCTTTGGCTTGATGTCATTTACCATTGTAGACCATTGTCCAGCATGTGGTTACCCTTCTCTAAAGTCTCGAGGGTGAGCTCGTGGTCTTGCAAGACTGAGCTTGTGGGCATATGATGATGTCACTCCCTGGCCACGAACATACAATGCGATGAGCTCCACGACTTGAGGGACGTACGTTGGTCCTCAATCATTTCATAGAGATCAACTTGACGGTCGTGACGAAGGCGTAGTGTGCACAATAAGCGCCCAAATCAACAGGGGCTCGTCCATAAACAGCAGTTTGCTGACTCAGCACCCGAGGTTCCGTCGAGCTCGGACGCAATCTGCCACCCGCCTCCACCTGTTCCTCGAGATGCCCGTAGGCATTGAAGCGTGGCTCACTCAGATTCCACCCGTCACAAGGGCGTGGCTTGCGCTTTCTGTGTTGACCAGTTTGGCTGTGGTGAGCTTCTTCTCGTATGTGTGTCCGGTGATGGTGCAGTGAGCTGAAGTGGACACGTTGACTTGCATCATCGTTACCAGCAATGTCAGCTTGTCACCCCGCTGCAGCTGTATTTTAGCTTCAAGAGCGCGTTTACCAATGCGCAGGTGAGTTTCCACTGGCTGATTAGGGTGTGACGAGGGGTATTGAGAGGTTTCGCGATGTAGCCCTGGCGAGCGGCCACGACGTTCTTCTACTTTGGGTCGATATCGCTGGACTTTGTATTCCACATGTTCTTTTTGTGAGTCCTCAAGTACTGTGATCCTTGAGCGACGTCCGAATCGTGCTCCAGCATGCGATATAGCCGTATGCTCGAAGAATCGTCGTTCGCCAACCGCACAGCCGACTACTTCTGGCTGCTCCTGACCTCCTCCGCCATGCTCCTCGTACGCTCCTCCTTCCAACCACTACACCCCCCTGTGCTGACCTTGAACCTCAGAGCCTATCACCCCTCGTCAACCTCCCCTTCCTCTCTTCCTCTCTCGCCTTCGTGCCCATCTACCTCTGGTCGCGCCGGCACCCATCCACGCCCATCTCGCTCTTCGGCCTCTTCACCATCTCCGCACCGTACCTCCCGCTCGCGCTCGTCGCGTTCTCGTGGATCATCAGCGGGACGTGGAAGGCGGCGGCGGGGGACCTGCTCGGGTGCGCGGTGGGCCACGTGGGCTGGTTCGTGCGGGACGTGTGGTCGCGGGAGATGGTGGGTGGGCGGACGGTGTTGAGTGAGGCTCCTGATGTTTTGTGAGTTTCTTCTGTTATCTTTTTTGGTGGTTTGTTTGCTGAAGCGGTGGTTTTGTGGATTTAGGAAGCGGTTGTTTGGGGACATATAGGGTTTCTTGGGTTGTATCGCATTCTGTGTATCACATTAGAATAGACCTTGGACTTGAAGTCTAGTATGTGGTTGAATGGATACTAGGCCGAGAGCATTTTCGCTGTAACGGTGTCGAGGTCGAGTTTGCACTTTGTGCTCTTCCATTTCTCGAGGACGGAACCGCCGGAAGCGAAGCTGATGGTGTCATTATTAAATGTTGACGATCGAAGTTAGTCCTTTTAGAGGCAGTCTCCTGTCCCCTCCATATCATCATAGCACAACACTACACGCACCTTAACATCCTCCCTTGGTCTCAGTTGTGTGCCATGTTCCACCTACAAATGTTCTCGGAATATCTGAGCTGTAGGGTTGCGGCGGTGGCAGAGGTCCCATGCGGAGGCATTTCTGGGTTGCCTCCACTGGTTCCCATTCCAACGGCGCCCTCAACTTTCTGTAACCCAACCCTTCCCTCCCACCCTTGCCTCGGCCCGCCCCCATCCTATCCCAACTGACTCCCCTCTTTACTACATTTCTATCTTCCTTCTTGATTCTTGTACCAACAGTCTAAACGCCTATACCACACTACTACAGCCCAACAACCGAACCTAGACACCGCCGGCAACTATATACCCGAATGTCCCACTCCCCGCCGGCAGAACATCAACCTGACCTCGAACACGAGGCGTACCACAACGGACATGAACACGAGGGAGGCGGCGAGTATGAAGATCAGGGGGAGCATGACCTCGTTCAGAGCACACAGCACCTGACTGTTGACGTTGACGTGCCGACGTCTGTGCAGTCTTCCCCCGGTGCTCCGCCCACGCGCACCGTTGCGATCATCAAGAACCATGCCCTCGACCGCAGACTTGATATCGAGCACCGGATCCTCGAGTCCAAGTTCGAGGTGAGTGCACATCCTCGCAATCTCGAGGGGTACTCACTCATATGGTGTGAATTCATCTGCTCCTCCTCCAATAGATCGTCAAGGAGCGGCAAATGGAGTTTGACACCGACTCCGATCCCGAGACCATGTTTGAGATTTTCGGCGAGGATGCGCAGTTCTTAGGAGAGTGAGTCAAACCATCCACCCATTCACCCCGTTCGCGGCTAGATCCAGCCGTGCATTCGAGTAGAGCGCCATAGAATGCAGATTACTGAAACTCAAACCCCTCCCAGCGGCCCAGTCTGGGTATATGTGCTCGAGCGCCGCCGCGCCGTCCAGGTCCTGCGCTCTCTCCTCCCCTCACTCGGAGACGCTATCATCGCAGCGCAAGACGACCACCAAGCCGAGATGCAGATCGCCTCGGTCTTCGCCTCCTCGCCGCCCTTCCACGTCTCGGACCTCCCCCCAGAAAGTCCACCGTATAGTCCGCAATACGACCCCAGCTCAATGCGCTCCGTCAACTCGGCTGTGCTCGAGGCGCTGCGCCTCGGCGTATCCGAAGGCGCGAGCACACCCTCTGCCACGTCTCCCAACGGCACCAGCTCCCCAGGAAACAGTAGAGCGCGCCCGAGCCTCTCCTCGAGCGGCGGAAGCAACTCCTACTTCCGGGCGCGCGAGATCCCGCGCACGCACACCGCGCCCGACATCGCGCCGCGCCTCACCAAGGCCGCGATGCTCAGACAAGGCATCGCGTTCGACGACGCGACCGGCAAAAAGATGCACGCCAAGTCGCCCTCTGCGTCCGTCGCGAGCACGGGGCGGCTGCCGACCGTGCAGCGGCAGAAGACCGCGGCGGAGGTCGCGGCGGAGAAGGAGAGGCAGCGCCAGACGTTCGCGAATGTGCCGGGCCACAAGCGCGCGGAGACGATTGCGGTCGCGAGCACGGCGGCGCCGGCGATTCAGCCGAGGTTGACGAAGGCGGCGCAGCTGAGGCTGGGCATTAAGGAGGCGACGCCGCCGCCGGGCAAAAGGCGCGTGTCGGGGAGCGGGACGCCGGTTTCGCCTGGGACGCCTACTAGGAGCAGGTTGAGTACTCCCTCGAGAAGCGCGAGTGTGAGCGCTGCGGGGAGCCCGGTGGTCGCGAGTCCGGCGCGGTCAGTTGGGGGTATCGGTAGCGGGGTGAACAGTCTCGTCGCGAAAGTGAGGGCGAGCGCGGTGGCGCAGGCGGCGCAGATGGACAATGGCGATGCGGGCGAGGATACGGAGACGGAGGCACGCAGAAGGAACACGTTCGAGGGTGTTCCTGGGCATAAGCGCCGCGAGAGCATTCAGGTCGCGAGCTTGAGCAAGGCGCCGAGTATTGCGCCGCGGCTCAACAGGAGCGCGGCGCTCAGGAAGGAAGGAGGGGCGGCGCCGCCGAGCAGCTTTATGTGTAAGTGCTAGGCCAAAGTTATTGTGCCTGTGCCAGGAGACTGACGCTTGGATCGCAGTCCGCACGGCCTCGCAGCCCAAACTCCCCGGCTCGGGCTCCGCCCCGCCCTCGCGCAGCGGCTCCGCTTTGAGCATGACCAGCGGCAACACGAACACGAACGGGAATGGGAACGGGAACGGTCACACGCGCTCCCTCTCGCGCTCCTCCTCCCGCACGGGTGCGGGCGGCCGCCCGTCGCTCTCCAATGCGCCCAGCAGCTACATGTCCAACGCATCGAGCACCGCCTCGAGCTCGGCGCTGAGCTCGGGCTCCGCGGACGACGAGCACCGCGGGAGACCGCCGCCCGCGAGGCGGCTGAGCAGTCTCGGTGCGCCGAGCATCGCGCCGAGGCCGAATAAGAGCGCGATGCTGCGCGCGCAGAAGATGAACGCGATGGGTGCGGCGGCGCAGCCGCAGCCTGCGAAGGTGTTTCGGTGAACCCCGCCGTGTTTTGCTGGTGAACAGTGCGCGGTGGCGAGGTTTATCGACGGCGCGGGTAGTTCGGAGGACGCTGTGCGCGAGTTCATGTTCTTGCTTCCTGTCGCTGGGGACACTGACCAAGGCGAGGAACGGCGGTGCTCGTGTGCATATGCACGTATACTGTACATACATACACGGTTGGGTGGTTCTATAGGGTGCTTTAAGTTTATTCGCGTTTCCTACCTTTTGGCCTTTCTTCGTTCTCTCTTTTCTTTTTCATCAACTTGTTTATCTTCCTTGGCCTCCCGCAGGACCGTTGCCCCTCTCCCACTCTTCCCCTTCTTCCCCCAGATTCTTGTTGATTTTTCTTTTCTTTTGCCATATACCACACTATGCGACATTCTTTTATCTCCTGTGTATGTAGAGTAGGGCCTGGGGTGGGTTTACAGTATGTATGCCAGTGTTCTTTTATCGACCCGTGGGAAGTGGGTTCGATGGTGCTTTTGTATTCTTGGTATGTTTACTTGTCAAACTAAGAAAGAAAGAAAGCCAAAATGATAAATGTTGAGCGGCTTTGGGATATGTATTGGGAGAACTGTGTCTGAAGAAACTGTTGAGAAACTGCCAATCACTCGTGTCGACGTAATGTGGTTCTTCCATTTTTGGGGGGTTCCTAGAAACGACTGTCACCTGTGGCTCTTAGGTGGAAGCTATTACTGTGGTAGTATTTACAAGTTATACTACCACAGTAATAGCTTCATCGCTTACAGGTGATCCTTGTTCACTCACCCCGCCTTCGTCACGACGGTCAAGTCGATCTCCATGAAATTCTAATTACCCATTTTTAAGGCCAACACCACGCCCCTGTAAGCGTGAAGCTAACTTCGTCATTGGTCCCATACTCCCCCTTCTATCTACTGGTCCAAACAAAAAAGGTCAAGGCGCTTCGCTGACTCGGATCAGCTCTGTTTCTTCTCGGGCTCACTGTCACCTTGCTTCCTCGCGCTAGAACGTGGCGCGTTGTTGGTGACTCCGGGCAGCATCCTTCGCTGATGGGTCTTGGATGAACTTGGGCGCTAGTTGGATCTCCATCGCGCAGTGCGGCGTCAGCTTCCCTGACTTTCTAGAAGCTGGCACGTTCTCTTCGGATATCGCACCTCCGAACAGCCCTTGTGGCGACTTCTCAGACCTACGAATTCCGTAAGTTGTCGTCCACGTTCCCCGCTCGTCGGACGTTCCAAGTTTGAGCTTCTGCTGGCTGATTGGGGGTGCGGAACTGCTGGTTCTGTCGTTGGCTGTTCTCCATCACGTTGGCGGCTCTCCGGGGAACTTCAACATCTTCCCTTCTAGTTTCTCCGACTCATGCTACGTAGTTGGTCTCTGGAAAAAGTGCACCCACGCTCAACGCCCATCTTCAGGGATTCGGGCTTATTGCATTGGCTGCTCTCGCGCAGACTCGTTCTGAAGTTCCAAGATCCGTCAACCCAGATAGCACCTGCTACTCGGGACATTTAATCAACGCCGCCGCCGCCGCCAAGTTGTTGGTGTTATAACCGCCTCGACGGCGACGCCGCGACGTCGCAATGCTTCAGTATCGACACCTGATTATCAGAGCTGTTCTTGACAAATAGTCACAGGCCTCAAGGCAAGATGGCTGAGAAATGCTAGCACACCGAGGATGACAACCTCATGTAGTCGTATCTTGACCATAATTCTCTGTTTTCTCATGTCACCTCTCAACCTCGCTGCTAGCGAGAACGCTATGCAGTTTTTGTCCGTCTGCTACAGACACGTTCGCAAGGCCTATACACCATTACCGGCTTCACCCCGTTGCCGAAATTCCACTGTGCGCGGAAATTTCGCAAGGTTTGAGTTTTCCGCAGTGCGTTTCGTCGAAGCATACGAAGGCTGCGCATCTTGCCGCGGTTGATACGCGCTATCTCCCTCGCGCAAGACAACCCACCTGCTTTTCTCTCCGAAATTGAACTGCCAAGAGAATCGTGACAGAACGGCTTTGAAATCAATAGTTCCTGTGGATGCGGAGAGCTTGCTTCATTTTTCTAGTGGACTCCACCACAAGGGAGCGCCATATTTTCAATTTACTGAGCATCAGAAATGTAACGTTACCGCGAGCGTTTAGAACGTGATCTCGACAGCCGAAGCAGGGTGAGCACGTTGCCTTGATGTCTGAACGTGTTTTTGAAACCCGGAACAGGGCGAGCGGAGGCCAAGCATTGCGCAAAACGACAGGATCTGAGTATTCGGTACACGGTATGTACACAGCCTCGAATAAATACATAGATACACGACATATTCCTACATCAATAGCAGCGTCTATCAGGCAGTCCCCAGATGTACAACAGCGGATTGATACATGAATCCAGGTTTGATGAGTAAGCGAATGACAATAGTTTGAACCAAAGAACGACGGCGGACAGAGGCTTGACATGGGAACAAATACCTTCGGAGAAACACGAAAAACAGAAATCTGTAAATAGTAAAGACAAGAACAACAACCATTTGGCTTGACCATCTAACATCGTTCAGAACCAGCGGTCGGTCGTCTTCTTCAGTATACTTCCCTTGCTGCCGCCGGATTTGCCCAGCTCGTACCCGTACACGCTGCCGGGGCGACCACCCCACCCAGGCGCCGATGCCGCTGAGAACTCCATCTTCGTAGATCGATTCCGGAGATGTTGCTGCTGGTGCTGCATTCCCGTCGCGAAGAGCGGCGCGGTCGCTGGGCCCGGCGTCGCCGGTGGCGGGAAAATGTAATGGTCATTCAGATGATCCTCCCGCTGCCCGCGAGGTCCGCGTCCGGGTGGCGGCGGATTGAGCTTGGGAATCAGGGGCATCCCTTCACCCCTCTCGAGCTCCACCGAGTCCGTCCGCTTCTTCCGGCCAAGGCCAAGAATGAGCGGGCGTAGGGGTGACCTTGGCGGTGATGTCGCTCCTTCATTGACGGGGCTCAGAATGGACTCGGTGACGCTGAAGACCGGCTCGGAATATTCCTCCTCTTTCGACAGGGAGACGCCGCGTGAGTGCGACCGGCGGCGCGCCCTCATTTCCGCTGTAACGCCGCTCACCGGCCTGCTCATTGGTCTGCTAACCGGTGGTATCTGGGGCGCCATGGCGGCGGCAGCCGCATGGGCGCTGGACTCCCTCAGCATGATGAGAAGAAGCATCGCCAGGACCGAGAAGATGGAGATGAGCATCTGTGGGAAAAATCCGATGAAGTCTGCAAGATCCGTTGAAGTCAATCAGTGCTGTGTATGGTGAAGACAATCAAAGCTTGTGCGCGTACCGATTAGAACACCTGAATAGAAACCGCGTTAGCCCCGCAAGGTCTAGAGAAAGACGGAGATGAAAACATACCATCGAAGTCGGGTCCATCGGGCATGGCATTACGCAGCTGGGGGATGGCGACGACAATCGCGAATGATGAGATGAGGTGTTTGAGGATGGGCTTCACGTCCGTAGCAGACCAGGCGAAGAACACATGAGCCACAGTGGCTTGCGTAAGCAACCAGTTGGCCGCCCAGAGGAGGAAGGCGAAGAAGCGAGCTCGTCCTGGCCTGCGGACCCAAAGGTCGATGTCACGGCTGGGTACTTGAGTGCCGTTGACTGTTACGTAAGTTTCGACGTCTTCGCTCTTGACGCTGAAAGCATCGGCCTCTTCCAGTGTCGCGAGTTTGGAGATTGGGAGAGTGTTGTTGTGCTCGTCCTTAATCATGATGGAGCCGGTGAGGTAGTACGTATCGAACGGATAAAGGTCATCGTTGTGGACATCAAGCGAGTGGTCGCTGTCGAACTGAACCATGTTCTGAACGCTGAGGGGCATCGTCAGCCAAGACGAATCTTAGCACAATCTCCGATACGTACTAGCGTCGTCTCGATGTCTGCTTCACAGAGGGCAGTTCGGCGGGATTGTAAATGAATGTAGGATCGTCATCACTCAAAGAGAGTCAGCATGTTGAATGAAATAGACACATCGTAAACGGGCTCACCCATCCACGAAAATTTCCAAGTACATGGGCGGCAGCCCACACTGGTTGCTCTCGTGGGCACCATGGCTGCCGTCCAGAACGTACCCTACCCCACACCCCAGTACTGACCAACGGATGCCAAGGGAAGGCTCATCAACATCAACATCGACGTTCTCACCCAAGAGGACGATCTAATGCAAAGCCGACGTTCATCAACTGTAAAAGTATGACTGGCGTGGTACTCACGCCGGGGTCAGACGCGGCGACATCGTTGAGGATGTTTTTGAAGTAGTCTGGGTCATCGTCATACCCTATAAACGCGCATGATAGCGCCAGAATGAAGCAAATAGAAAAGATGATAGCGAGCGCGAATTTGGTGGAGAGCTGCATGGGGATCACTCCACCATACGAGGCGGGCGAAGGCAAGGCTGCCAAGCGTCTTCGCCAGTCCCTTGATCGGGAACGAATGGGATTTGTGCCACCCATGAAGGCTTGCGAGAGTGACTGACTGGTGAAAGGGGAGTTAGAGGATGATGGTGGTCGAAGTTAGAGTTGCGAAAACTTACCGAAGGTTCTCGGCACCGCCCAAGCACAGAACAAGTGCTTGGCGTCTACAGAGAATGGCAGGGTCGCGCCTGGAGATGACAGAGGCTGTCAGGTCTCTGGAGAACCAGGTGGGGATAAGAAATGAGCTTATGTACGTTGAGCGCCACGATATCCAAATCTCAGATTTCGCATGGCTCCTTCTCGCAAGCGAAAACCTTCCAAGGATTCGCCTCCACCCGCTCAGTCGCATCAAGGTCTATTAATGCTGAGATGTCGATTTGTTAGTAAGCTCACATTCAGTGCAATTGGGAGTCCACGGTGTTCGGTCCACTGGAGTCGAGGCCACAACCTCGAGAAAGCCTAGTATGCAAGTACTCCACGCGCTCATTGCGACAGAAAGCATGCGAGTTGCTTACCAGCATCTCAAGACTTCAAGACTAAGACCATATGTAGTTTGTGCGGCATGCTTGACTCTCAATAAATTGTATTGCTGGCCTTATTTGATTCTTATGGGAGTCAGTGAGCGAGCTACAAAGAACATAAGGAACCCACACTGACCTCTCACGGGTTACTTCTTCAGGTAAAAGACCGGCGGAAAGCATCAAAGTCGGGTGCTGCGGAACGTCTACCTCGTCCGCTCAGGCAGCGCCCGGAGGTTTTGTGCCTTCTGTAAGATAACCGCTGGTGGATGCGATTAGCAACGATTAGATATATATCCTGCATAGACAGATAAGCGAGTTCGACTCCCGAGAACTGTTGTTTGCGCACGACCCTGGATTCAACAGCTTTCTTATCCTTGGATGACAACATTAGCAGGCCCTCTGTTAACATCAGGGGAAACTGCATAGTGTGAAAGAAGCATGGACCAGCGGAAAGTACCCACATGTTACGAGCATTGATTATCGTGGAAAGCGCTGTGTGGCGCGACCTCAAACCGGCCACAGCCTTGCATTAAAGACCTTGTGCGTTCGCACCATCGGGACCGCATCCTGGGAAGTCCGTTGCGTGAGACCGACGGTATGGAAGTCGAGTGACTGTCAAACGTAGGGCGATGGGAAGAATGCATTAGATTTGCACTTGCGTTCTATTGAGCTCAAATGAAATGTCATATGAAGCTGCTTGAATGCCTTTGACGCATGCATTGGAGATACACTATAGAAAGTTAGATAGATTAAGCTGACATCACTACACATTGCTGAGTAGGCCCTGTAACGTTTCGATCTCGTCAAGCGGCCCTCCATCATCACCCTCGCGACCAAATACGTTCAGCACCTGTCGGCTGAGCCCGAGATACAACTGAGCGCGGTCCACGAGGCCCGCGTTTTCCGTCCGCGTTGCCCCGTCTGCAACGTTCTGGTCCGCGGTGACGAATGCGTTCCACGCCGTCTTTGCCATTTCCAGCAGATGTACGCCTATAACATAGAGTCAATCACACAACAACTGGCGCTTAGCGCGGGAAGCCTTACCGATCTGCGGGTAATTCTGTGGGTATATCGTGCAGTACAGAGCGAGAAGCGTCATCCCGACGTTCAGGGCGTCCGAGTAAGGGCCATCGTGTGACGCCGCGCTGAACGACTCCGACAAGGACGTGAGATAGGACTCGTTTAGGGCGGCCAGCAGCACGTCAGGGGGAGTGCGGGGGCCTGCCGGGAGGACAAAGTCGGGCGATGTCGAGGTGGGTGATGTGGGGAAGGCGTGTGTGCGTAAGGCCCGAGCTAGGGATTCCTGATCTTCCCGGGACGAAGGCGGCGGAGGCACCCGACCTATTGAGTCGAGGACAGAGCAGGATGGACATGTGCAAGTAAACCCGTATGTCAGTTGAAAGCCTTGTTGGCGCGATTGGAGCAACGCGGGATCAAGGTATGGGACACAGATCTGGGGTGATGAGTCAACGACTGGAACTCACAAAATTTCTCAATCAGCACTCGCCTCTTCGCCTGCACCGATGTCTTGAAGGGCTACAATCTCCATTCTGGGAGCAGCATCTTCAGAGAGGATGTATCTGGCGGCGGCGTTGGGTAGACACGAATGATTGAATAAACGGCTTGCGAGCGGAAAGACCCCATGCGCAACCGTTGTCAGATGGCTATGGACGGCAAAGTTGTTATTCGAGAATCGAGAAAACAGGTCGTTTACATCGGGTATAGTGCCCGCTCTACCGTTCATGGCGCATATAGGGGGCGGATTCGCGATATCTGGTCTAGGCAATAAGGATAGGAACGTCGATAGTTGTTGGGTGCATTCGGCGGTGTGGTTCGACCGCAGCTCTGCAAGTAGGTGGGTGAGGAGCATAGAATCCATCCTTTCGTGAGTCTCCATCTTCTGATACTCTGCAGAAGCTTGAAAGCGCTGGATGTTCTTGCAATATGATCTGTGCGCGCTCCATTGCGACGTTTGACCTGAAGAACGCACCACGGATCGGTTATGCAGGAACGACGCGAACGAAAGTCATCGAGTCGCACATTGAGGTCCACAGTAGTAGTATGATGCACATCCAGAACATCTCTTGAGATCGATCCCCGATGACTCTAAGCGCAGACACCTGTCGCAGCGTTTGCCCTTGAAGGATGGTATAAGAGCAGTTGCGAACGCCCTGACCGTCAAGATGCAGTCGCCCGGTGAGAATGACCTGCTTGTAACAGCCTTGTTCCGAGCAGTTGGGTGAGGTTCAAGACGAACACCTTGAAGGGACGAGAGTTCTGGCTCCATGACCAGAGACAAGACGCGTCGACCCGGAAGAAAACTGGAATAAGGCTCCGCCAACCGACGCCGCCGGCAACGTCAAACGCAACGCCCAAAATCGGCCGATGAATCATGATGAGATCATTTATTCATTGCCCCTGTTTCTGAGCTTGTTCCCCCCAGCTGCCGAGCTCATCGTCCTCGACTTGCTCATCAACGTAAATCGTACGACTTTCAGCAGCATTCAGCTTTTCACCAGTCAACATGACCGATACTCACCACATGTCAGGCGACACCGTCCGCACCATGGACCTAGCCAGCGCATGTGGTTGCACCAACACCGGCCAGCAGAATATACTCACAGAGAAACAAGGAAATGTTGCTATCGTTACGCTGAACAGACCCAAGGCCTTAAACGCGTTGTCGGGAGCGCTCATCCAGGAGCTACTCCAGGCCTTGAAAGCATTCGATAAAGATGATGACGTCGGTGCCATAATCATTACGGGAAATGAACGTGCATTCTGTGGTACGTTGCTTTCGCCACGCATATGAGGAGAATCTTGGCAGTAACAAAAATGTCGAATCTATTACCATAGCTGGTGCCGACATCGCAGAGCAAAAGGCTCTGAGCTTCACGCAAGCATACAACACTGACTACCTTAGAGATATTGTCGACAGCATCCTTGCCATTCACAAGCCAATCATTGGCGTCGTGAACGGTTATGCAGTGAGTATCTGAACCCATGCAGGTCACTCATGAAAGGACGCTCATCTTTCTCAGCTAGGTGGAGGATGCGAACTAGCTATGATGTGCGATATCGTTTATGCGGGAGAAAAGGCAGTTTTCGGCCAACCCGAAATCAAGCTAGGTACGATCCCCGGAGCTGGTGGGACACAGAGATTGATCAGGGCGATTGGGAAGGCAAAGGTGCGCCCTCATCTTTGATGCATTCTGACTCACTTCTCACTGGCTGGTGGTCAGGCCATGCATATGATTTTGACGGGAGAGAATATGTCCGCCACCGAAGCGGAGAAAGCAGGTCTCGTAGCTAAGGTACTGCCCGTTAACGAAGTCCTGCCTGCGGCTATCAAAGCGGGTGAGTATCACACTCAAAGATTAGGTTGTCAAATAGCTGTCTTATCAACATTTGATCTCCTATTCAGCGACCACCATAGCAGGCTACTCACGCCCAGTGGTGGCTATAGCAAAAGAAGCCGTCAACGAAGGTCGGCGGTCTCTACTCTTGCTCGTAAAGAAACTAAGTCGTTTTCAGCGGAGGAACTCGGTCTGCGAAACGGACTCCACTTCGAAAGGCGGTTATACCACTCTACGTTTGCACTGTCAGATCATCAAGAGGGCTTTGGTGCGTTCTTGGAAAAGCGACAGCCTCAATGGAAGCACGTCTAGGGCAAGAGGAGTGCAGAATTATGAAAGTTGGTTGTGAAAATCATAATTATCTGTACAACAATTGCAATGTATAACAACTACCAAGAAATTCTATTGGACAGGATATTGTAAGACAACAACTAACGGAACCTTTGTCGTTCTATGATGGACTTCTGACGTGCGTCTCTTGAGACACGCCTGCGGAAGATCGTGAGCGTTAGCCAAAACAGGTTCTCAAGATGACATACCAGTAATATTCCATAACCTCTGCCTGCCCGAGTCTCCGCAAAAAGTTCTCGTCATGCGTAATGATGATGAGCTGGAAGTTGGAATGGTTTTTGCGCTCGTTGATAATACTAGGGGTATATGAGAAACACAAGCATAACACGAACACTAACGAAACTCACTCGACGAGACTAGATGCAAGAGCATCAATGTTCTCAACGTCGAGAGCGTTTGTGGGCTCGTCGAGGGCAAGAATACCGCAGTTCTGGCCGAAAGAGTCGGACAGCGCCAGACGGATGATGATTGAGGCCAACATCTTCTGCCCTGCTGAACACCGGCCGCGCATGTCCATCTCGACTTGGTCCTTCGTCATGACCACCTGCCGTAGTATGTTAGCCGAAGATATCATGGAAGCTGAACGTAGCTTACTCGGTAATTATACGACCTCTTTGATGCGCCGCCTTCAACGTCTGAACGGATCTTGATGCCGTCGATATCTACTCGCAAGCATGAGCGAAGCAATGGACGTAAGGACGAGATCCATCACCTGTCCCCTGATACGTCTTGTTCCACAGATGTCTCATCGTATCATTAACTTCCTCCATTTTCAGTGTGTGATACTTCATGATAGCACTAGAAGTACCGCTCGTCAGTGAAAAAAAAAAAACCAAATCATAAGAAGAAATTTGACGCACTTCTCCAACGCTTTAGCATACTTCTCCAGATCGCTGTTCGCCATGTCTGACATCTATAAATACATGACCCTGTTAGCAGACTCTAGTGTGGTTAAAGAGAATCATACCTTGACTTTGACGAGCTGATCAGTGTACCGTTTGTTGATGTCCTTGTACTCGCGGAAATCATCTTCCCACTGCTGGAGCTGGCTCTTATGCGAGCTGATCTCTCCACCTATATGCGCAAACTGCAGAATCATCGGCATCTATTCTTAGGATTGCGGTGAAATGATAAAGCCTACCTTGCTCTGCAAGTCCGTCTCCTTCTCCTTCTCTACCTGGTACTTCTCCTCAAAGTTCCTCTTCGCCTTGGCCGCCGCCTCCATGTCGCACTTGTCGATCTCGGCCTGCGTGCCCGTGACGTCGCGCACGAGCTTGCGGATCCGTAGATTGTCGCGCAGCGTTGCCATCGCGCTTCCGCTCTCGTTAATCTCCCGGTCGATCTCCGCGATCTCCTCGCGCTTATTCTCGATCTGGATCCCGAGCTCGCGGATCTGGGATTGGAAGTCCTCGACTTTGACCGCACATTCTGCGAGGGTGTCGTCTCGCTTCTCGCGGATGTATCTGCATGGCGTGGCTTAACGTTGGCGCTAGGGGGCGGGGATGGAGAAGGGAAGATGCACCTATCGATAGTCCTGCCGATACTGTCTAGTTTGTCGACACTCATGTTCAGCTCCTGAGAGGAGTCCTGAGCTTCTTTGAGCTTGGAGTTTAGCTCCCCTTGAATTCGCTCGTTCTCTTCCTCGAGCGCTTGAATAGGCGCCTGAGCCTCCGAGATCTTGCTATCAAGTTCCTATACCAGTGCTTTGTTAGCGCCCAGCCCACGACAATTGGTCAGGAATGCGGTACCTTCAACTTCGCGGAGCACTCTGCGATCTCCCTCTTGGCGTTCGCAATGCGCTCCTCCAGGATGTCCTTCTCGCGAAGCTGGTTCGACAACGTGTTCTCCTGCTTCTCCATCGCGTGCAAGTCGTTCTCGTACGTACGCAGCAGGTTGTTGTACCTCTCGCGTTCGCTCGTGAGAGTCTGGCGTTCTCGATCATTAGCACGGCTACGATTGAGAGGTAAGCATATATCGAACGAGGGGAAATTCGCCCAACAATGGCGTACATTTCGGTAGAGAGCGCATCAAGCTCTGCTTGGACGTCGTCGGGCGTTTTCTTTGATCCCGAAGTCGCCAAATCCTCTTCAAGATTGCTGACCTCAGACGTCAGCTTCTTGATCTCGTTGTTGCATCTTGTGATGTTAACAGCATGCTGCTTCAGTGCCGCCATCTCGCGCATCTCCTTCTTAAGCTCGGACAATTTCGCAGCAGCCTTGAGGAAACAGGTCAAGGGTTACTTTGACGCTGAAATGGGACTTCGGAAGACAACTCACGTCCTCCGCTCGCTGACTAGCTTCAGGTAGTTCCCTCTCCTTCTCGGCGATTTCACGGTCGACGAGGGGAAGCTCCGTTTTCCGTATACGGTCCGTGTTGCTCTGCAGCGGAAGCCACTTCTTGAATGTTCGGAGTTGATCTTCATAATCTTCCAGCCCCTCCTTGAGCTTTTCTGTGCTTTCTTCGGAGGACTGCTTGATTTGCTCCGCAAGCTACGATGAATAAAGAAGTTACCAACAGTCAATGATGTCCGATAAGGTATTCGAAAGTGTTTCTACGCACATGTTTCCTGAACACCTTCAAGTCACTGTCGTCCATGTGTCGCGTGCATGCATGGCACGTCTTTTTCTCCTCTCCGAGCTTGAGAATCTTCTCGTAGGCCTCCTTCATCCCGAGTAGGTCTTTTAGCTTGCTGGAGGATACACGAGTGAGTCATCTAAAAGTTCGTAACTCTGAACATACTTGGTGTCTTCGCGGATACAGGTCTCACACTCGTCGATAGCGTCATCCAATGACTTGAAGCCCTTTGGAATTGCTCCCTTAAGCTCCTCATCACCCTCTGATAGAACAGAGACGTCAGCCCTAGTGCAACAAGTGTTTAGCGAAAATTACTTTTGATTTCCCGGCGCTTCTGCTCCGCCTGAGCCTTGAGATTCTCGAGGGACGTGTCGATCTGCTGGAGTGCTTTCGTCGCTTCTGCAGCCCCAGCCTCGGCATCATTCAGCTGACGTTCTTTTTCTCTGGTCAAGACTTTAGTCGACATACGCCCCTTCCAGGAGAAATCGCGACTTACCGTGTGAGACGGTCAACTTCCGCCTCGATGCCATCGGCCTGGGGGTCGGATTCTGCAAACTTCTTGTACTTTGGTCCGCATACTTCGAGGCTGCAGATACACGGAGCACTCAGCGATGAGACCTCTAACATTCGCAAGGCCAACGCTTACAGGTTCTTAACCTCAGAGTTCTTGCTCTTGAGCTCGCTGCGCTTCAGGTCAAGTTTAGCCCGAACGTCGGCCTGCAAGCTTAAACCGCGCAGCTCGGTGTTGAGAAAATCACGCCCATCATCGAGCCGACGCGCCTTAGACGCTTTCTCGGTCATCTTCTCATCGAAATTACTCGATCTGATATCCGTCTTCAGACGTTCGATGCGGGACTTCTTATCCTCAATGTCGCCCTGCAGCGTCAGGAGGTCCGAAGAGACGGTCTGCATGGTTTCTATCGAGACTTCAGAGTTGTTGATGACCGACTGGCGATCTTTCTGGAAATAACTCAGATAGCGAATCGGAACAAAAGGACATCAGAACCGACCATTTGGTCACGCAAGTTGCTGCGCTGTAGCTTGAACCCTTCCAGTTCCGCATGAAGCCCCCTGGATTTGCGGTTAAACTCCTCGTTCTTTGTCCGAAGATCGCTCTACAAACGTGTCAGAAATGAGCCACCTCCGCAAATGAACCCAAACCGCGAACCTGTATCTTCTCATATTCGATCCTCTGGCTTCGCTGTAGCTGGCTGAGTTTCTCGATAAACTCCGCAACCTTGTCTTTGTCGAGCGAGCCGTGCTGATAGCCCCTGATACTGTGCCTTTCGCTGATGTCGCGGACGAGGTCAGTACGCTCCGCGATGCGGCGTTCTTGTGCCTTGGATCGGATGAGCTTTCGCAATTACTGTACATGTTGGCATCACTTACTCTCGACTCTCCAAGGAGCTCACCATGCTCGGTGATCAGCTCTACATGCGTCTTCCGCGCCCTCGAGAGGTCGTCTTCAAGGTCTTGCCGTTCGGCATCAAGTTCGCTACGTTTCTGACGTTGGGCTTGTATGTTCGCGTCGAAGTTTTGCGCCTTGGTGCGTAGCTCCTCCTCCGTTCCTAAGAGTCGCTGAGCAGAAGCTGGATACGAAACCCACGTCATGCTTACCAGACACCTCCTTCGTAGTTTCCCGCAGCTCTCCAAGCTGTCGCTGAAGGTCTTCTTTCCGGTTCTGCAGGTTCTCGACCTTGACATAAGTCTCGCGGAACTTATTCGCCGACTCGTAGAAGCGAGCGTTGTTGTCCACCATCTCAGACCACTCGTTCTTGACACGCTCATATTGGATTTCCTTCGCCGTAATCGTCTTTTGGAGCTCGGAGATACGGGTCCGGAGCTTGTCTGCGTGCGCCTTTTCTTTCGATAGGGATTCGAGACGCTCCTTGTCCGCTTTGAGGTCTGCGACGCGGTCTTTCCGAAGAGCCTTGATAGAGTCAAGGGCTTTGGTGTATCTAAACACGAAGTTAAAGACGTTAGGCTTTGGAAACGTAGCATATACCCACCTCGTGGCCTCAAAAATGTCGTCAAACTTCTTCTTGAGCGCGGAGGGTTCAGCCAGCGGCCAGTACGACTCTTCCTGGTGGCAGAATATAACATTTTCGAGCACTGATTTCGATACACCAAGGAGGTGAGGGATCTCGGCGTCCATCTCTGCGCATTTTGTCGAAATAGCCCCTCTCTTAGGGGTGTATGAGGATATGGGGGCCATCCGCATAGCCAACTGTACGCACCTTGCCACCTTTCTCCACATTACCATCCGCCAGCGCCAGAATGCTTTCCAGGGTCTTCATTGTCAAGCCCGTCTTCTTGACGGTCACACTAAGGTTGCGCACAGCGAGCATCCGGGTCCCATTCGCCGCATGGAACCGCAGCTTCACCTGAGCCTTGACCTCTTTCTCATTCGCCATCTTCGGGTCATGAATGAAAGCTCCTCCGCGCGTGTTGGGGGGCTGGTCGCCGGTAGTGACATACTTGAGGCACTCGATGATAGTGGTCTTGCCGCTGCCATTGTGCCCGACGATGACGGTGACAGGGGAGAAGAATTCGATAATGGATATTTGCTTATCGTCAAACGATCGGATACCTCGAATAGCGAGCTTATTGAGACTAGCCATGGCGAGAAGAGAGGGTAAAGCAGGCCAGACGTGTCGACTGGTGACGGCGACAGTGAACAGCCTCAATTGTCGCGTCGCGTCGCGTGCACGCGGATGGGACCAAACAAAATGCTACGGGCCGAGTGTCCGACTGGCAGCGATTACGCGTCCTGACGCGGACGCTTCCTGTGTTCGGTCCACTGTTCGTGCTACCTTAAAGCACTTCAACTTCGTGTTTTACGTCGTTCCCCGCATTCATCTCAGTTTTTAACGCATCCGCTCTGGAGAAACAGCTTTTACTCCAATGCATGCTGCATGTCAACTTCCTTCAGCCGCCATTCTTGGGCGGTTTTCGGGCTGCTCTCTTCATCTTCCGGCAATGTCTAGTGTCGACGTCACCATTCATCCATGCTTAGACAGTCCTGGCAATTCTTAAGCGACCGATAGGATGTTCAAAAACAGCCAAACTTTCATAACTGATCGGTGCTAACAATACGATACGCACACAGCCTTAACGGTCATGCAGCCAAGAAAACAGCGAGGTCCCTGGATACGCTGGCTTGCTTCCCGGATCGTTATCACCTTGGGCAGGTCTAATGACCTGGATAGGGTCGCTCAGCTTGAATCTCTTTCAACTGTATCAGCTAGTGCGGTTGGTTTTAAGGTGATACGAAGGCCTGCGATTGCTGTTGTTACCGTTTGACCGAGCGTAGCTCGCTATTTCCGCCCGGTGGCTCAACAAAGTACCAACACGCTCAACTCACGCAATATCGACATCAACTCTTGATTGGTCTTGATAGTCAGGGCCCTGCGCCCTAACGGAGCTATCCTCATACTGGCTGTCCTTGGGTTTCTCACCTGACTGTGCCATCAAAACGTGAAAGGCGGTTTGCATGTCCTTTTCGCGAGGCCTTGCTCCTCTGCAGTCTGACCGACCTGCATTCGCACTTCCCCGATGTGGAGTGATTGTGCCTGCTGGATAGCTGATGCTTGCCGTTCAACCTCCCCAGGCGGCCCGGTATCAGTTGACGTATCCACAAAGTTTCGTCCCCACCATGAAACGGATAAAAGGCTGAAGAGGTTTTCGCTTCTCTAGCAATTTTGCTTTCTGACATGTACTCTCAGCTGTTGATCAGTTTCATTGTCATTCCCTTCCTTTCCTTCTTTTTGAAGATTTCGTCACTCGCTTTAATGATATTCATTCGGCTATTGTATATGCTGTTGGCCGCCTTGCTGGAGTGCTCAACGGATGCTCAGCCATTCGAACCGGCCACCAGTGCCCAGCTGAATGGAGGACCGCAGAAGCCTGACAGGTCAGTAATGAGCTGCCATAACAGATGCCCAAGCTTATGGTTTCGTATCTAGCGATCTCGTTGACAGCAGTCCTTCTCAGCTAGAATCCTCCACACTCTTTGCGACAGATAGCCTCCCATCATCGGCTGGACCCCGTAGAACAGCTGAAGTGCACTCTGCGACGTCTCTTCAAGCTGAAATGCCCCTATCATCCCCTTCGGCCGATCGCACCTCTCAGGAAGACGCGTCGGCATCTGCTCGGCCAGAGCCTAACGCGCCGCGATCTTCCACTCCTCCCCCGGCTTACGGTACACCCAGCGCTCCAGCTCAACCTTCCCGCCTAGACGACCCACTTGCGGACCTTGTCGCGATATTCCCGGCTGCGTCAAGAGCGGGGTTCACCTTTCAAGGGTTCCACACAACTGGCAACGCGAGAGTCCACTACCCCACCATGATCTATGGTGGATGCAACAATCGTGGTGCGGGTGAGTACCGTCCTGCTGAGCGCCTTACCTAGAGCTTTCTAATTGACGCCCGATCGAATAGAAGTCCGCCTTGAACGGCAGAGTGAACTTTGCACTTAGAGTTTGCTGGGCGAGGCCTTTCCTGGACGTCGCTGGCTGACCCTAAGCATGATGGCACTGGCATGCGTGATCATGCAGGCCACTGCATCGCAAGGGTCTATCTGATATGCCTCAACCCCAGGAACAGAGTTTCCTGGATATATTTATCGATGTTGTCATTTCCGACTCCGCAGGACGGGCATGCATTCCTGCCACGATCGCTTACGGAACATCAGTCTGGCGTCAACGACAACGATTGACATCGATCCTGCGTCTGGAGTATACCTCATAATTTAATTGATTTTATTACTACTTATCATCCATTAATAGCTGGCGTTCAGTATTGTCTCCTTACTATACCACGCTCATTGACTTAGCCACTCTACCTTACAGCCATACCCACTGCGTGTACTTATAGGCTAATGTTCTACCTTATCCAATTATAATTTCCACCTTCTCTGAGATATATCAAGTCTGTTGATGCGTTAATACCGCACGCCACGGGTGCCATGCTCCAATTCCGGCTATCCGATAACGAACCGTTTACAATTGCTCAGGGAACCAAGTTCTCTTAGACTGCCGCGAAGCTGCCACCAACCACGACTTTATCACTCGCTTTCTAGTCACACTCGCCATGATTACTCAATGAAACCTAACTATGTCAAAAGCGTATTAATCTAGTGTAGTTGCTAGGAGACTATGATACCACCCCATCCGTGTTATCACCAGCAATGAGCGCCTCATGAATCGTCACTCTCTCCTCCCGGGGTCCCCCACCCCACTCGAGCAGCTCGTTCACCTTATCCCACCTATCCTTGTACGCGGCAAACTCCTCATGCCGATAGCTCCAGCGTCCGTCCCACGTGTTCACATCCCGAGCGCCAGGGAAGAACGCCGTCAACACCCGCGCGACGGCCTCCGGGTCGCCGATTCGCGAGTTGCCCAGCGAGAGACAGAGCTTCTCCCGCGAAAGGCGAGGCAGGGGACTTACATCCTCTAGCCCCGTGGCGTCTGCTTCTAGTGCGTCGACCATGAGCCTGATGACCCGCGTCTTCGGACAGTGCAGCGCGAACGCCCCGAGGCCGCGGAGCGTCGCATGCGGGGGCTCGTCGTCGTGGTATCGCTCGACCACGAGTACCTCCAGATCGGGCCATGCCTGGGCCATCCGGGACAAGTCGTCGTCGGCGAAGTCAAACGAGCATTGCACGGCGAGGCTGAGGACTTCGAGTCGTCGAAGCGAAAGTAGCGGCGTAAGCGACTCGAACCATGCCCGCGTCGGACGGGCAACAATGTCATTGTTGATAGTGTCCCAGCATTCGAGGACGACGTGCGTCAGGTTGAAGTAGGAAGGGGAGGATACAAGCGTATTGAAGAACGTCCAGATAGCCCAACTCTCTGGCCCTTCGCCGACATCGACGCAGACGTGCGACGGCCGTTTCGGGTTCTGTGCAAAGAGGCTTGTCACATGTGCCATGCGGGCGGTTGTGAGGTGAAGATAAGTGGCATTCTCAAATCCTTGCTGTATGACCGACGATTCTGGCTCTTCGCCCCGGTTCAAGCTTCTAGGCCACGGAATGTCGATTTCCGCGCATTTGAGAGTAGGAAGACTGGCGAGGTGACGCATCGTTGGCTCGTCGACTCCATGACATCTGATCGCCTCCAGTTTGTGACAGCCGCGTATGACCGAGCACACGAACTTGGAAGGGATGCAGCTCGTCCGGCTGTCTTTCAGCGACAGTGCCTGGAGCTGCGGACATAGGGTGCCGAGATCCCGGAGACACCCGACCGACACGAGTTCAGTTTTCCAAAGGAAGTGGATCCGTAGATGGAGGAGCGAGGGCACGAGGAAGAGACGCAGAAAGATGGCGTTTCCTGGGCGGTCGTCCGACCAGGTCAAGGATTTCAACCTTGGGAACAATGGGGGATGATGAGAATCTAGAGGAACAAGTCTAAGGGGTTCGAGGTCGGAGTACGCTGCCTGAGACTTCCAAGACACTTCTAATTTGCGGATGCGGGCGGCGTATGAGAAAAAGCGGGAACATTCGGATGGGGTATATGCGGCCTAGAGGGTTGGTGGCAGGCGTCAAAAACGGGTGTCCAAACATAAAAGCCTAATTTTGGACGCAACGCACCTCGTTTGCAACTAGTTCCACAGGTCTTTCTGGCAGAGTCTTGGTCAAATATCGAACATCCGGGAGGTCCTCCCAGAGCAAGTCCAACGCCGAGTCGAGAAACGCGAGACATGTCCGCGCCAAAACCGATAGGGTTTGCCGCCGGGTCAGGACGTCGCGGTACGTGGTATTGTCAAGCGCATCAAAAATAGCGACGACAACCTCTGAAATGAGAAGAGCGGGATGCATCTTGCCAACTGACGGGGGGACGAGGGACGGGGGGACGGAGGTGCGTGATCTCAACGAAGCAGAGCGATGTTTTATACGTCGGGTCGGCCATCAACAACCGCGGATCCCCAACGTTTCGTCGCGACGGATGTGATGCCGTAAATGTCGGATATCAAGCCTCGAGTAAAGTTTACGTCTTTGACTGCACCTCCGCATTCTAAATGGCGTATCCGACCCTGTTGTGCATCCGCAGGTAAGAGAGCGAAGGTCTGCGGCCTGTTCGCACAAGTTGAGACTTGCATGATACTTAGCGCAGAAACTGAATTGGCGGTGAAGATGGTGTGACTTGGAAGAAGAACGAAAGTGAGACCGGACGGACTCGTCGGTGAAGTTGAAAAGGGGCATGTAGAACGTATTCATTTTCTCTTGGCCATTTGCATAGTAAGATTGTCAATATACATTTGCAACGTGGAGTTTTCGGAGGTCAGCTTGTCGACGTCCTTCTGCACGACGGCTACGCGCGATAACAGAGCTGCAAGGACACAAGAAGCAGCATTGCGATGAGCTCAGGTGCCATCCAAGGGGGACTTATGCAACTGCCTACCTCGCAAATCGCCCTGCGCTGCAGCGATCTCCCTGAGATGGCGAGGGTTTGATTAACAAGGTACTTCATAGACAAGTTGCATTCAGCTTACCTGATGACCAGTTCCTTCCGAATCGCGTCTTTGACGAAATCACCACTTCCAGAGTCAGGTGCTCCCCAAGCTTCAGGCTCGTCGAAGCCACCAGCGAACGACATCCTCGTAGTAGTAAACGTAGACGCTGAAGCTGAAGCTTGAAGTCTGCTGGACGGGGAGAGATGGTTTCAAACTCCGCTCAGACCTCCTGTCCACTGACGCGTCCCCGTCCAGAGACCGACGCGCAACATCCCAAGCCACCACTAGCACGTCAACCTTTCATCATCTCTCAACACTGTCGATGTCGGTCAACACACTCCTCGCATTCAAAGCTGGTCGCGCTGTTCGACGCGAAGGCACCAACTTCGTGGACCCCATCCCAGCCAAGGGCGCGGTCATGCTGCAGACTGGCGAGGATGGCCTTTTGCACTTCATCTGGAAGGACCGCACGTCGGGAGATATCGAGGAGGCGAGTAACAAGCTAAAATTATAACCGCAATATACTGATCTAGGTTTGAACAGGATCTGATCTTGTTTCCTTCGGACGCGTCGTTCGTCAAAGTCCCCCAGTCATCTTGGGGTCGGACGTATGTCCTGAAGTTCTCCTCGTCGAACCAACGCCATTTCGTACGTCTCAGCTCTTATTTTTGACACGTTTTGCCTAACATAGTAGTAGTTCTGGATGCAGGTAATACAACTCTACCAAAGGTGAACATCTTTGCTAATGCCAATTAGGACGCATCGTCGCGGCGCGATGACGAGTTCGTCACCAACATGAACCGCCTTCTCGAAGACCCAGACTACATCCCTGTCTGGGACGCCAGCCAGCCCGGCGAAGCATCGACGTCGGCTCCATCGTCGACCACCCCGCCGTAAATGTCCCTCATCCTCCTTCCCTCGTCTTCCCAGCGACTAACCTCCCAATCCCACCCCATCACAGCGGCGTCACCCCCGACCAACTCGCTCAGCTCCGCACCCTCGTCTCTTCCCTCGGCCGCCCCGGTGGCGCCTCTTCCCAAGAGTCTGCCCCACCCGACCTCTCCCTGACCGACGTCCTCACCCCCGCTAACATTATGCCCATCTTCACCTCCCACCCCGAACTCGTTCCCTCGCTCTTCCCGCATCTCCCGCCTGACATGCCCGTGCCCCCGTCCGAAGAAGCCCTGCAGCGCGTCATCTCGTCGCCCCAGTTCCGCAGTGCCGTGTCGAGCTTCGACAATGCGCTACGGACGGGTATGCTGGGCGGCCTTGTGCGCCAGCTCGGGCTGCCTGAAGAGGCTGGTACCAGCGTGCAAGCTTTCTTGAGAGCGGTGCAGGAGCAGGCGGATAGAGAGCGGGGTACTCAGGGCAGGGACAATATGGACACCAATTGAAATGTTTTGCCTGCACTCGTCATGTATCGTAACTTTGTTCAATGCAATATGTCATTACAAGACACACAGACGTGCTTTGAGGCATCACTGCGAGTGTTGTGTACGTACACGCATCACTCACTAATCCTCTTGTGCAACGGAGGCGAACCAGTCCCTCGTTGCCTCCCATCCAACCCTCGTTGCCTCAACACCATCTAACGTATGTCCCTGCCCGGGGAACATCAACATCTCCACGACCTTGCCCCGGCCCTTGAGCGCATGGTAATACTCCTTCCCATGCACCAGCGGCGGCATGCGCTTATCTTCCTCGCCAAGCATGATCAGCACGGGCGCTCGCACATCGTCGACGTACGCGATCGGAGACATTGCGAACACCTTCGTATACATCTCTGGCCGCATAAGTGCCTCTGGCCCATAAGAGAAGCCGTTCTCCTGGAAGAACCAATCGGGCATGTCGCTCGAGAGGTCTCCGAGGGAGATGACGGGGTTGCGCAGCGCAGCGGCTTTGAACGCGGTGGGATGCTGCCCGATCACTGTGAGAGGGATGTCGATCATAAGTGAGAGGTGGAATCAACGACAGAAAAAGGAAGAAGGCATACGGTGGGCACTGATGAATCCGCCGTGGCTCGCGCCGGCGACGAACTGCCCATTCGCATCTGCGATGCCGAGATCGACCAAGCGTCTAACGCTTGCCATGCAGTCCTCGACGTCGCGGCTCCCGCAGTTCCCGAGGAGATCTTCGATGAACTTCTGACCGTACCCTACGGAACCTGTAAAATTTGGTGTGGATGTAACATCTGGCATCCCATGTCCAAGTTAGCCGGGGTTGTATGTGTCTCAGGTGTAAGATATACGCACATCCTTCAAGCGCAAACCCAGTGGTATAGTGCCAAAAACTACTCGACGACGACGAGTGAGGACCACCATGCATGATTGAGACACAGTACGGCTTTGACCTGGCCTCGGAAACTCCGCGTCGGCGCGTCACGATGGTCTCAACAGAGGGTCTCCCTGGGACAGGGACGACCGAGACCTCTAGTTCGGACAGGGCGGCTTCCACTGATCAAACAGAACAACGCATAGTCATTGATCACGTCTAGATTACACATCACATAACGCTTTGGAAACATACATGCAGTAGACACCATCGTTTTGTGGATTACATTCCAGCGGACTTCACCCGCATCATCCAGTGTTCCGACCAGGACTTCCCAAGGGCGGGCAGGCGAGTGCCGCGAGCACACAAGCCGGCGCTTCCCGTCCGTGCATAGCAGGTCCCAGGTATAGTGGCCGCCAGTTTCGTCCGCGGAAGGTGTCACGTTCCGCACAGCGCCTGATGAAGCGTCGATCAACAGGACCACGTTTCTCGATCGCCAAGTCGACGATGCTACGATGAAGGTCGAATCGCGAGCGGAAACGAACGGATGTTCAGGGAGCATGTTGACATAGAGTCCGGGGAACGCGTCAGGCTCCGGATCCCATACCGAGTCCACAAGAACCCGGCTAGTACCTAGGATCTCAGAGTCGCGAGTGAGAGCAATAGAATGGAGAGTAGTGCATCCGTTGTGTGCCTTGCCTGTAGTGTTGGACAGCCAGAAGAGGCGGACAGGTGTACCTTCCGCGTTACGTAGGATTTTGGGCGAGCGGCAGGACTTGGTGGGATCAGAGATCATCGAGATGGCGGAGACGATGTATGTTCCTAGAGAAGATGACTTGTCGTCGCCCGAAGCTGGCGCTTCTGAGCTCGCCCTCGCCGCCGTTGAGGCAGCAGCAACGATGCCTAGAGCATATATGCCCACTGGCCGACTAAAGCATCCCCTCAACCCGAGCATCCGTCCGTCTTTCGTCTGCTTGTACCCAACGGCAAAGATACGGTCCTCCGATGCGAAGATAGCCTGTCCAAACAGATCAGGAAGCGATAGACCCTGGATGTCGGAGGGTTTGAGCAGGCTCAGGGACATGTCGTCCCCAGACCGTTTTGAGAATGGAGGGGTAGACGAGGCCGTTGGCTGACTCCAGCGGAAGAGGTATATCGCCGACCGTTTCTTCTTGGACATGCCTTCTCCACCGTGCGGAACGAAGCGCCATTTCTGATATGGGTCAGTCTTCTCGGTGTCTTTGTCGCCGTTGGGCTCGGCGCAGTAGATCAGCGCGGTTTCGGAGGGAGAGAATGACAGACTCGAGAGAAAGGCTTTGTGCGAATATGATGAGTTGACCGGGGTGGGGATGCTAGCTTCCAGACGTACCATCCGTATGAAAGTCCCCATGCTTGTCCGTCACATCCATCGACGCAATTATCCGCGAGTCTTTCCACACCTCCACCACACGCCTCTTCTTCGAACCATTGTCGGGATCAGCGACAGAACGCAGGTGAACCTGATGAGCGCCAGAGGGAGACACGGCGGAAGCTAAAACATCGGAGGCGTCGAATGACGAGGTCGACGCGCTGCTTCCATCCTCGGCTACAAAGAAAGTGGTAACGGACGACCGTTTGATTTTGCGTTCGCGATCGTTGAATGAGAACTTGACGCGAAGGACTACAAGCAAAGTACCAAGCTCCGCGTCATGAAAACACGACAAGAGGAACTTGGCAGCGTACCATTACCATCAGTCCCTCTGAACGCCGCTCCCGAGGGAGCCGGAAGCTCGGTGATCTCGTCAAAGAAAGGTGACGATCTCTTTTCCTGCAGTAGAGACATTGCAGCAAGGGTAAGTCTAGTTGAAATCCAATGTTCGTTACTAAGTAGGTGTATACGAAGTGGATCTGATGGTGTAGACTCTAGAGGTGGTGGACAAACCGCAAACGACGAGCGCTGACTTAGGGGCACATGACAGAATTGGCGAATAGCTTTCGCACGCGCTGCCGTTACACAGGCGAGGATAGGGGCACGCACGCTTTCAGAGTCTTAGCCGCCACTTCCTAAAAGCCCAGACGACCTTTATGTCAAGAATCTCGTCAAGTTTGTTCCGTAGCCTTGCATGGTTTCCTCTGCGGCATGGAAAACTTCTATAACGGCTTTGATATACGACGGCCACTGTCCTTGCTGCAACCTCGTTGAGATCATTTCGCTAGTAGTGGTCTTGGCAACCTTTCGAGCGACCGTCAGTTAGTTCATCAGAAAAAGCGATAATTCCTCTCATGGAGGGACATTGTTTGATGACTACGGGCGTCTAGTTTACACGAGGTAATTTCCGCTATATCCCACGTACTGCTTCTACCAGGTCGGAGTAAGAAGGCTGTGCAAGAAAGCATACTCGGGGGACGGACGCATTCGTCTTCGTACTCACAAACTACCTTCCAGGCGCCCCCATGAAACCCAGAACTTGCATACACAAAACCTGACATCGTCTCTGCCACATGAGGACATGTGGGTGACTCCTTCAGGGTATAAAATACCCTTGTCCAGACATTGTCAAGCACCAGTTTTATCCCATCTTCATACCGACGCGCTCATCCAGCTACAATGGTCCAACTCTCCTCGTTGATCTTTATTATTGGAGGTGCTTCCTATGGTATCTTCAACCGGTCCCCAGTTTGTACCGCCTTACTCATAGCTCCTTGTTATTTAGTCATCGCAAATCAAATCGGAGTCACCAACATTCCTGACCAATGCCAGTCAACCTGCAACTTTGTCGGATCCCTCTCGGTAGGTCTTTCGTTTAATGCTCTCCAGCAATGCAGAAACGGTGCTCATCGCATGTCTGCCCCAGGATTGCGGAACCAATGCCTCTTGTTTTTGTTCTTCCAACGTCACCAACAACTTTCAGTCATGCATGAACTGCATTGCCGCTGCCAACTCTTCGCTTGAGTCGGAAGTCTCTGCGGCAGTCAGCGGCTATAACGACGGTTGCGGTAAACTGGGTGCTCCGTCTGTAACGGTCAGCTCTTCGAACTCATCCAGTGTAAAGACAGTCATATTCACTCGTCGAACCTTAGGTACCTGCGGCTGGTAGCTCGTCTACCGGCTCTTCTGATAGTTCCAGCTCTGGTAGCAGCTCTAACAGTGCAGTCGGCTTGGTTGCCTCGTCAGGTCTCGCGGTGGTAGTTGCACTTGCCGGAATGACTATGACTTTCTAGCTGTTCAAAAATATCATCACGTTCAAGCTTTCCTTGATTCGTGGTTGTTTACATGTATATATCCAATAATATAACTATGGACGTTAAGTGATATATCGACCTGAAGCATGAAAGTAACATTGAACTATGGGCGCTGAGTAGCAATCATTCCTGGCGTATTCTGACAAGAGATCATATAGCTGCATTACGAAAGCAGATTAATGAACGGAACTGTTTACGCACTCAAAAGTGTCAACAGCTGGTCTCTAATCAACCCAGTATATCCACCGAAAAGGTCAGTATAACTTCAATGTCTCCTTGAACGCTCCTGTAAAGCCCATGTAAAGCCAATGACCTACTTTGTATCAATGTTTATATCCCCATCGTGAACGCTGGAACGATATCGTTTCACGGTCAAAACGCCGAGCAAACGAGCGCCATGATTACAACGGGAGGTCTTCGACCTATTTGACCTTAACAGCATTAGTGACTCCTCACCTTTATCGGGTCATAGCATCAACGGGGCTTAACGAGCCGAAAGAGGTTTTGATCCTTGCACAATTTTTACCTAAGCTTCGACATGTAGAAAAGGACGAGATGGACGATCGCTTTCGGACCCTTAAGGTCTTCTCACCGGCACCAGTGACCCTTGGCAGTGCATCGATCATCTCAGTTCGTCGAAGAAGTCCGAGAAATTCTCTAGCGCGGAGAGAGGATTTAGCGCCAGGGTCCATGTTTTGCACGAGCATCTTTCCGCTTTTTCACACACCATGGCACAGCCATTGTCTCGTACATGTCAGAGCATGAAGGCTGTGTAAGAAGCTGGCCTCGAGCAGTTAATGCCGAAATTTCTGACTTTTATCCATTGTCGTTTTGTTCGCAGACCATCGAGGACAAGGAATAGCTCAAGATCACGGTAAGGAACTCCTTTGTTAAAATGGACAAATTCCTGACAAACCCCCATAAAACAAACCCGGGGCTTTCATGTCATGGCATACGGGCCTCGTGCCCCAAACTCCGAGAAGGGCTGGAATTCCGGAGACTGGGTGATACCGACTATGGGAATAATGGCCTAGAAACAACCCTCAGGGTAGGCGCCCCCATGAAACCCGGTTGCCAACGCCAAAACTTAACGTCGTTTCTGCAACAGTCGCAGAAACAATGCGAGCGACGTCAGCAGGGTATAAAGGGATGTGTCGTTCAGACGATTTTCAGCATCAAAATCTTCCTCGTCTTCACTTCTCGCCTACAAACTTTCATAATGGTTCAGTTCACCTCCTTAATTATTGCTCTTGGCGCCATTGTCTGCGGTAAATATCTCCTGGGCTCAACCTTGACTGAACGACTTACACCTCCCCCCGCGAATAGTTAACGCAGGCCATCCGGTTGAGCACGTTGCGCGTCAATTCCAGATCTCAACGGTTCCTTCCCAGTGCAACGGTCCCTGTAACTCGACTGTGACCAGCGTCCTCGTAAGACTTTTTTATCACCTTGACGCGCTGTAGAGGTACTCACCACCTATTGACATCTGCCACAGGGATGCGGCGCCAGCCTCTCTTGCATGTGCTCCTCCAGCTCCGCCAGCAACTACCAGACATGCTTGAACTGCATTGCATCTGCTGAACCATCGCTCGATTCGTCGCTCTCCCAGTCGGCAAGCAATTACAACAGCGCCTGCTCTAACTACGGTTCCGCCTCTGTCACGGTCAGTGCTTCGATGCTTTTTTCAGTCTGCAACGGTGGTATTCATCTGTTGGCCCGTAGATGCCTGGGACCGGTAGCACCTCTACCGCCTCTTCTGGTGGTGCAAGTTCCAGCAGCAGCCCCAGCTCCAGTGGCAGCTCCGACCCCGGCAGTAGCTCCAGCTCCAGCGGCAACACCGGTGGTGCGGCGGCCTTTGTCGCCTCGTCGGGCCTTGCTGCCATAGCCGCCATGGCTGGCGCCGTTCTCGCTCTCTAATTGCTAGAATAGTCCACCATATTTAATGTCTCCCTTAAAGAGTAACCGCACACACTCGTTTACCCAGTAAATCCAATATAACACGGCTACACCTAGAAATTCGAACAGATCCGACTGCCCACTGTCCAATGTAGGTCGTCAGTCGTCCTTACTCGGACAGATTCAGATCCTGTAATCACGGTGGTCACGTCAGCAAAGGCGCGCGACAGGTAATCGCGCAGCACTTACCATCGCAATAAGTCTCCTAGCAATAGGATGGAACTGGTCCTTTGCGGGCTCGAACGTGTCCACCGCAAGCTTCTGATCCACCTTGTAGATCTGCCGGAATACCGGCCGGCAGAACTTCATGCGGCCCTTGATCACGCCCGTCCCGTCATTCCCAACGACCCATTTTGCGGCATCGGGAGCGAAGTGCTTCGCCGCCTCTGATGTTGGATCCAGAGTCACGAGTAGGTAAAAGCGGAGGCGGAGCTCGGGACTCGTGGTGGTTGAGAACTGGTATAGATTGTCAAAGTGGAAGAGGTGTGCGGAGGGAAGGGCGGGGTACGATTCTAGTCGCTCGAGGAACACCACTAAAACAACATTAGTAATGCGCAATTGTACCATATAATAGCTACGTACTGGTTTGACCAGCGGCGAACGACTTGACATCGTTCGGCTCGAACGCCAACAGTGAGAGGTCGTGCACTGAACGGGCAACGTCCCATCGGTCTGCGAGATCAAAAGCGTCCTTCGCCAAGGATGTGTCGAACTCGTTCTGAACGGGTATGGTGAGACCTTCGCCATAGAACCAGGCCTGTGTGATGTCAGTCATGATACATGGATTATAACAGAACAAACGCACATCCCAATCAACAGAATCAAGTAGGGATACCTTCGAAGGATCGCGTTCCCGGAAGTAAGCATACAAGTGGTCCTTCCATTCGTACGTGGTTATGCTCTTTCCCATGTATGCGTCGAGGTAATTGCGCATGTACGGCAAGAAAACGGCCAAACCGCCGAGGAGATGCTCTGAAAAACAAGATCAATATATCAAGGCAGATGCGTAAACGATGGCATTCGTACCCAGGTAGTAGAGCATGTTTGAGCCCTTTTCATACGGAACGCGGCCGTAGGCAGTGTCGGGATCCTCTCCTGTCTCGAACGGGATAACCAATCGCTGGTACTTGGATCTACCCGTATCCTCAAACTGCTGGAGGGCGGCGAGAAGACTCTTGTATCCTATCACCGCTGACAAGCCACGAGCGGCAGGTGAGAGGATTAGCTGTTGAAGAAGCCGCTCGGTGAATGTAGTCCAGCCCTCATTGAGCCAAAAGTGCGATGCATGAGCATGTCTACGGAAGGTTAAGGGAGGGCGTCTGTAAATTCTGGATGCAACGTACGTGATGCCGTTTCCGAACCAGGAATGGGATAGCTCGTGTATCACGGTACCAGTGAGTGACTTGTCTCCAGCGATGAGCGCTACGGTAGGTTTAAGTAAATAAAGCATACGAGCTAAGCGACGACGTAAACGCACTTGGAGTGAGAAAGGTCAGACAAGGGTTTTCCTGGATACATCCTTCAGTCACAAATAGTAATGCGGAAAGCCAAAAGTCTTACCATGCCTCCGTAGGGGAACGAAGGAGGCAGCACGAGGAGATCGTATACATGGAACCGATATTCGCCCAGATAATTCTCGGCGGCGGTCAGGAACCTACATTAGCATCAATATCTACAGTAGGAAGTATTGAAATTAACAGCTTACTGCACGGTGGCCTCGCTGAATTCTTCATGTGCATCCTCCACGAGTTCAGTCTCCGCCCATACTCCCGATGTCCACTTGGCAGCGTCCGGTGGGGAGAACGGACGATAAACGACGTCGCCAGCTGCGATCGCGATGAGGTAGGAGGGTATGGGTACAAGCTGGAGAAGGAAACACATTTAGGACATTTAGTAAGACAGTCGGAGTATGAGCTGTACCTGGCTGTATGTATATGCGATCTCCTTCTCGCCGATCCCATCGTGCGTTGACTCAGAGGGCGGACTTTGGCGGATCGCAGACATGAGGATGGGTAAGACTGATCTGACTTCCGCTGTGTAGGTCTATTCCATCGTTCAACTCGATACTGTCGGAAACCGAAAAGATTCATACCAGCTTGACGGACGGCGTATCTGAAAAAAGGTTCAGATGGAGAGATGCGAGCAGAGCAGCGTGCCATGCCTTGGACAGGGGCCAGAGACCTAGCATGGATGGGTTGACACTGGCTGAAGAGGAATGGGAACTTCTTGCCCTGAGTTTGTCTGTGTACGTTCAGCTTCCTGACAGGCTGGTAAAGACTCATGGTGGGTACTGACTCTTTCTCAAGCCATTGCAGTGCAGTGCAATCCTTGGTTGTTGAGTACGCAATCTTCACCTCGACGACGGAGCCAACAGCCGGGACTGACAGTGGAATGTGCAGCGCAGATCCCATCACTTTGTCATTATGCTTGATTTCATACTGCAGTGAAAGGGCGTCAAGTTGAGAGCTTAACACTAAGCAAGGTTCCTTCGCCTCCGTAGTTGGGTTCTCGTTCACTTCGACCGAATGCACATCGAGCGCCAACACGTCGAAGCTGAGCAGTATGCAATCTTAGATGAAAGGATGAGCGTATGGCGAAAGTCTCACATCACTTCCTTGACCCCGTCATCCTTCACTTTCAGCTTATGGACTGCTGAGCCTGTGATAACGCGCTTCTGGAAGTCGACAGACCAGCTGAAGTCGATATGTTCAGTCGCGATTTGCCAGTAGTTGGAGAAGGTGGTAGGATCGCGCTCGGGAACTTGATCAGCCATAGTGGGATGTGTCTCAGCAAACAATGGCGGTATCCTTCTGCAACAACAGTGGATGACTGATGTGCTCCATCGCGCCCATCGTCAGGAACAACGGGCCGGGGTTGTGATTGTCTGGCAACAACTTCCGAAATAAATAGCTCCACGTGACCGGTTCGCGTCCTACAACAGCGTGCCTTGAACACGCCCCAAATCATTTGCCCACCTTCATCATCACCACCACCCCTCCTTCGCTCATCGGCATCCTCGCTCTATCAAGCCCATAGCGTTTACGATGGCCACAAAGCAAGCACCGACACGTCAAGCCATCACCCTGAAAGGGTCTACCAACCTCGTCACTGAGTTCTTCAAATATGCTGCCAACACGTTCGTAACGCGTATCCATCGCCCCATCCATGGTGTTAACCGATGTTCAGGATCCTCTTCCAGCGTGGCGTGTACCCCTCAGATGACTTTCATATGGTGAAGAAGTATGGGCAGACGGTCCTCGTCACGCAGGACCTGGCGCTAGAGAACTATCTCGATAGGTGCGTCGCCTCCAATGCACACCCGCGGTTGCCACTCACTCATCGCTTTTAGAATCTTGTCGCAAGTCAACAGTAAGAAGCTATCAACTTCCTCCTGTTTCATCATGCTCATGCACTGTCAGAATGGCTGCTCACCGGGTCAGTCACCCAGCTCGTCCTCGCCATCATCTCGAAAGACTCGAGAGTAACGCTGGAGCGATGGGTGTTCGACGTTAACCTCGTGGAGCCTCCGGCTGACTCTACAACCCCGTACGTTTCTCCTTCCCTGCGCAAATCCGCTGCTTGATGAACCATCCACCTGGGTTAGCTCTGCTCCCAAGCCGGAGTCCGAAATCCAAGCCGAAATCCGCTACATCCTGAAGCAAATCGTGTCAACTGTGACCTTCCTGCCCATCATCGATGAACCCACCGTGTTCAACATCCTTGCCTACACGCACGAGTCAGCCGATGTTCCAGCGGACGAGTGGGTCGACACGGACCCGCTCGCCATCGAGGCGAGCAAGAGCCAGCAGGTGAAACTGCGCAGCTTCAGCACGGACGTGCATCGCATCGAAGCCATGGTCGCCTATCGGTATGAGGGGTAGATTTCGTTCAAGCCCTGTGTTTCTTGTATTTCTTGCACTCGCTACCTTAACTCGCTATGATTGTAATGGACAGGGTCTCACGTTTGCTACGGTATTCGGTGCTCGTCGTCGATTGGCTCCGCTGGGCAGTGCTTTTCACAGGCTTTTACCGGCCAGTCATTCGCTCCACTTGGCACTGCCACTCAACACACCATTATACGCGAGCCACAGACCCGGGTCTCGCGGTCACCGATTCCACCATTGAATGTTAAGACTTGACATGGGTCGAACTCCACCATCACAGCTTGATGTCAATAAGTTCTATGCTCAGAAATAAACTCTACAGCTTTGCTCTACTGGGGAGAGCGAGCGTGTATATAAAGAGCTGAGCTTGGTCTGTGTAGCCTAAATTTGATACCCCTTTCGTCCCTCACCTCGACTTTATCTAACGCCTCCTTCCACTATGCATCTGACCTTTAGCTCTCATGACGTTACCAATACCACCCTCACCTCCGACAATGGCCATGCCATGTTCCGAGTCGACACCACGGGCAGTGCTCTTTCGGGTCGCACTACCACCATACACAAAACATACACAGACAAGGGCGGGGAGCTACGCAGTGAGGTAGTCGCCCAAATAGATTGGCAACTTCTCCATGGCACCACGCTGCGCTTCAACGGTAATACCGTCAACGCGGAGTCATTCATCCAGAACAGTGGTCTTCGAAGACGGTGAGCTGTCGTGGGTCCTCACGATCGTCCTCGGTCGTTACTGAACGCGATGTTCTGCACCAGGGACTTTTCCTTCACCGGTCCTGATGGAAAGGTATACAAGTGGCACGCAGACCTCCGTTCCCTTCAGGTACGTGCGACATCCTGCTTGGCCGACGCGTGTGACTGACAGCTTTGCGGTCTGCAGCTGGATGCATTTGATGGGACCACCGTAGCCACCGGAAGTGGCGGGAAGCGTAGCCTCTTTGGCTCGCATGATGGGCACCTCACGATAAACCAGGCGGCGTACTTTATGATCGACGCGATCGTGATGACGTTCGTCTATGTCGAAGGCACGATGGAGAGGCGTAAGAAGGCTGCTGTTGCTGCCGCCGCTTCTTGATCATCGCCTGGTAGAGCTGTAGAGAAGTTTTGCGATATGTCAAAACTGTAGGCACGACATGTAATTTATGAGGAAGTCCAGCTGTAAATCTGCATTTGAGATTTTGTTGAGATTCACGAACTCCGAGTTGTCAAGTCACAACTTGCAAGTGGACTGCCTTTCCCAGGCAGGCGCCCCTATCAGACACTGAAACAACACTCGTTTCTCCAGCATCGCCCTATTGATCTGATCGCGTCGCTCATCAACATGACCACCACCACCTCCACCCACAACTTTGACACACAGGATCTTGACCGTTTGCGGAACCATGGGCCAAGTATTTACAGAATGCTCAGCTTGTAGAACATCGTAACACCTCCCGCTCACCCCACCCTTCATCGTCGTCGTTGTCAAAGTCCACCCAGACCACCATGCACCTCACATTCCGCTCCACGGACGTCACCAACGCCACTCTAGCCACCCCCGACGCGCACGCGACGTTCAGAGTTGAGAGCCACCGCATGTCGCCCGTGAGCCGCACGTCAACGGTCCACAAGACGTACCCCGCTGCGGATGGCGGGATGCAGGTCGGCGTGCTCGCGCGGATCGACTGGCATTGTCGCCCGAGGCCTGATGTCCTCCATTTTGACGGCAACGCGGTGAACTCAGACGTGTTATTCAGAAATGATGGGTTTAGGAAGAGGTGAGCGACCCTGTGTGGAGTTTACGTGAGGGTACTTGAACTTGCGTGCTTACCTTGCTGCGCTTCTAGACAGTTCACATTTACTGGACCGGATGGGAGACCGTACAAGTGGCATGCAGATCCCGATACCGTCCGGGTACGCGTCACAGCTATATTTATTGCTCTCAGTCTATATGCCTTGTTGACACTTGTGCGCAGCTGGACGCTTACGACGGTGCAACCCTCGCGACCGGCCACGGCGCCGCTCACGGTCCCTTTGGCGTGCGAGATGGCACGCTTTCGATCAACCCGGCGGCGTACCAGATGATCGACACGATCGTCATGACTTTCGTCTACGTCGAGGGTATCATAGAGAAGCGGGAGAGGGGCGGCGCGCCGCCGCCTCCCGTTTGTTGAGCGCTGGTTACAGAAGCTGTTTTGGACACATGAGGACGAAGCATTGTACAACAATTCTATTCCATGACAATAAGTTACGGTCGGCTGGTGATCAGAATCATGGTCAGCCGTACATGCGTCATATGTCACTGTTCCCTGATCTAATGCCCTGACGCCGACTTGAACCAGAAAAACCGCCCTGGCAGATGCACAACACAATAACAGCGGACGAACATACGCCTGTCTCCGCATCTCCGCGATACGGGTGTGGGAGTACGGACGCTAGGCGACCGGTTGAACATGTTGTGATGCAGCTCGAGCTAGCTTTGCAGGTCGAGAGGTGTAGTTGTTTGAACGGCTTTTCACACCCATTTGTCACGCACGCTCAGATGCGTACTGGCAGCGAAACGTCAATGCAAGTCAAATGCCACAGTCCAAAACAGAAACGTACTGCAGGCGGTGACTGGAGTCGCGTGTCCGCAGCGCATGTTTGCGACATTTGACTGTCTACGACAAGCGTCGTCTAAAAGGTGCAGCAAACATGTTATTCCATTAATCACGCGCGAAAGTGCTTCACGAAAGAGGTAGACCCTCACCTCAGCATACGGTTCACCGTCGACGGTGACGTTTTTCACGCTAGGATAGCATTTACATGCACAGCCATCTCGATGGCGCAGACGAGCACGACCATTGAGCCTTGAGATACAGTGTAAGATCAATCAGAGACTGATATCGTTGGGGTCTGGACACCTACACAGCGAGGAAGCAGTTCGCGTATACTGGAGACACGTCAAAAAGCGTAGATCAAGAAGCCGGAGGGTCACTTACTTGGGGCAACGAACCCATACGTTCCGACCCAGATGTCTAAAGCGGCGAGTTTGAGCTGGGCGCCTAAGGCAATGTCGGGCGCTTTGACTCACAATTCTGCTTCATCGTGAAGAACTGGACATGAAATCCGCGTGGCGAATTAGGAACGCGGATATGTATAGTGGTGAGATGAGATAAAAGTAGCTCACGAAGATCAAAACAAGCAAAGCGCAGAAGCTTCCGCGTTCCAGCTGGCATCAGAATCAAACAGACAACCAGATAGGCGCCCATACCTCGTGATGAACCCGGTTTCTGTCCATGGGAACGGAGTGAGCGTTCTTTTCTCACAGACACCACCATCCAATATAACAGCGTTTCAAGAACTCACCTATCGCCCACAAAATTGATTTCTCAATGATTCTATCTGTCCTGATCATCCCAGCAAACCCAACATTAGGATTCTCATCATGAATCACGTCCAAAAACGCTGAGGAAGCTACATACCTAGCACTGCTCTCCGCAAACTTGCTCCCCATATGATACACGAGGCTCCCGGTGATCGCAACGTCCGCCAGGGCGGCTACGACGAGGCAGGCCGTTATCGCCCACTTCTCGTATACCTCGTAGCTGGCCATACTCGTCATTCGCAGGGCTGTGATGCCTAGAACGAGGCCTAAGACGCAGGAGACCACACACACGAGGGTGCATATGGCGGGGAGAATCCAAGAGCTAGAGAGGCGGACGAGGCGGTAGATATAGAAGGCCTGCACACACAATGTGATGACGGAGCCGAGGATGATGACGGCGTCCGCGACATGCGAGAAGGCGCCCAGAGCTTGCGGGAAGCCGTAGGTCAGGATGGTCATCTGCCAAAGCGTGTCGATGACACAGACGAGGTGCACGAACAGCAAGCCCCTAGATGGGGAAGGTCGTCAGCTACGTTGGGCTCGAGCATGGAAGTTGGTACAGACGAACATGATGAGCAGCACCTGCCCGTCTCAAGTAAGCCCCGATGCACTCAGAAATATTTGAGTGAGACACGCACCAAGCCCTTGAATCCTCGACTGTCCTCCTCAAACGTTGTGAAATACATATACGTCTGTATCATAGCGCACCCAAAGAGGACAGAGCTGACGACCGTCCCAGCCTCGATGGGCCCAATAATGAGGTCGGGTTGGAATAGCTCATTACCTGCCTCCATGAAACTCGATGAAGTGGAAAAAGTTGCGGAAGGTTTCACGCAAGAATACACTTGTGGTGTTCGGGTTCATATATACAAGCGCTTCATCCTATAGTAGAGACGTGAGACTCTTGGGGCATCTGTATCAACAAAGTGGGAGGCTGTTCCGTACCTTTAGTCTATGTGACATCTTTGCAAACGTTTGATGAACACAACGTAAGCTGTTCACAAATCGCTGCTGGGGAATGGCGTCAATTCATTAATGCTAAGAAAAACCTGAAACTACCCACTAACTTGGAAGGATCCGCGGTGGTCCAATAACACTGCCAGCTTTTCTTAAGACTGCACAACGACAAGGTCGATGTACAAGCGCCAGGCGCTAAACGGCAATGATCAAGATACTGGGAACTTGGTGCTTCATTCGAGTACTCACGGTCTTAAGGACCTGAGTTCGAGAGATTGAGAGTTACGACAAGCCGTAAATAGCCTAGGACGGATTTTGAGTTTGTTCAGGATGCAGCCTCAACACCAAACTTCGTCAAGCTGGATGCGTGACTTACTGAAGACTTAGAACAAGACCTGTACCACCAGTCAAGTTGTCGACTGTCATGAGCTAGGAGTTTTAGGTCTGCTGAGGAAGACTACCAAAGGCTGAGGCTCAGAAGTATCCGACGTGACCCGCGGAATTAACGTACATTCGTCAGCGCCAATACCGATTTTATCAAAAGTGGCGACAATGTGTTCTTATAGGGACGCGCCTAGCCAGGTCCAGCCGATTTAGATTACTGTAGCATTTCGACCAAGCGTTCGTCACGCGTCACGACGGGGGTATGGTATGAACACTTGACTGGCGCTTGTCACGGGTCAGATAGTGTTTTGAACACCGTGACCCGGAAAATTTGTCAATGTCCAAAAAAACATAAAATTGCGCGTAAAAACGCGTGGAAACGAGTATGAACAGATCTAATGAGCATCATAGTTGTCAAAACGCGAAGAAACAACCCTCCGTCGCTTGCCTCGGCCCATCTCAGCCTCATGGTCCTCCTCGTCTGCCTCCGGTATCTCAGACCTCAAATCCTCCGGGTGGCCAACATCGAGATGAGTAGACAAGCTGGTGGCCGCGTCTGGGGCTGCGAGAATGGCATGTACAAGATCAGCAGGGTCTGTGGCCGTGTCGTCGAGTTCATGGGAGTCGGAGGTGGTGAAAGGGGAGTCGTCCACTGTTTCGGCACTGGTCAGTGAGATGTCAGCCGAAATAGTTTCCCACATTGCAGGATCAGTGTGCGAGAGTTCGACAAGAGCGCGACGGGCAGCACGCGAGGTAAGGGATTCGAAAGATAGGTTGAAGGCTGTGTCAGGGACAACACAGTGAGAGAACGCCTACATGCAAAATTATAAGAATTGTAAGCGCACGAGGCAAAACATGAAATAGAGAACTTACACGTTGGACAAGACCAGGGTTGTTGATAGCATTCCAGCCATCGACGAACCAGCCAACTGAACGGGTGCGAAGCACACCAATGGCTGTTGTAAGGCGAAAGAACGGTGCATCACCCCCTTGATCAAGATGACCTACGGTCTCATCTACAAGGTCTCGAAGCTGCGCGCGTCGGATTGCTAACTTGAAGGGACGCTGCATATCCATGTCGCACGGCTGTGCGAGTGGTGTCATTCCACCAGGCACGTAACGGAGCCGGATCCAGGGCCAGCGACGTGAGA